TTATCGTGGCTTGACTGCTTATAAGTGGTAGCTTCCCCGGTGTTGGGACGTGCTGCATCCCTTCGCCGTCCTTCACATTACAACGAGAAGGGTTTCGTGCTTCAAACCGCCAAAATCACAAGGCAGCATCTCCGCAACATACAGCGCGTTGTAGGTCACCCGAATTTCAGTCCCATTTCCCACCAGAAGAGTGCAATGGCCTTGGACTGTTTTCATTCACACATTTACTTTATCATCTATTTACGTGTCACTTATTGAAACATGGAAATTTTCGTTTTGGGCGAGTTGTGGCGGAAGTTGCGGTTCGCCAGCGTAACCAGTATCTGGCTCCGACGTCGAACAGCACCACCAGCTACAATTCGCCTCCAAAGGAAGGGTTATAGCCCAATTAAATCATGTAATTACGTTATTATATATTTACACCCAACGGCAGCGCACCGCTTTTATGGCTTCCTCCATATGCGCCACCGAGTCGGCCACCCTTTTGAATTCGGTTGCCTGCAAGGCGGCCGTGTCGCCCCTTCGCGACGCCCTCTCTGCCTCACTGCCCGCCCTGTGCCGAAAGGCCTCAAGGACGCCATCCACTCCCAAGCGAGGCAGTGTGATGCCGCCCTGCCGATGCTTCCCGGGAACTGAGACATCAAACGGAAGGGTGGTTCAAGTGACATGCTTTGATGTGCTCGGTCACGCTCAGCGGATTGCGAAGTGCGGGCAAACAGCCCAGAGCTGGGGGGGGATTGAACCTGGAGGGTGTCAGGAGTTGAGCTGTGCATTGCTGGGAGTATTGGTGATCAGAACTTACCAAGCGGGCCGACTTCTTGCTTTTGGCAGTTTTGGTTTCATCGGAATTGGCTCTAAAAATACGTACATGGCGCGGGGGCGCCAGGCAGCAATGTGATATATACCGCACAAGTTACATATACTGTTTTCGGGCTTTAAGAATTTACTCGGGTAATAATAATTACCTCTCCGCGAGGCACGACGCAACTGCATTGAGAATGATCCCAGCACGAAATCTTGCGTTCGACAAAGATGACACCCAGTATTGAATGTCTGAAAGAGAACCGAGTGCAGCTCAATCCGAAAGTGCACGGGATTGTGAGAATCCAGAATGCGGCTCCCATCTCACATTGAGGCGAGGTTGCCCTTATGATGCGCAGGGTGTCTTCATATTCTCGAGTGGCGCTTGAAACTGGTATTGCTGTGTGTCTGCATTCGAAACACTCGAGCTTTAATTGGTGGTGACTGATTGCAGCTGCAACTATGTACGCAGACCATTTGGTTGAATCCATTCCATCCAATATTGTAAGAATTCATGTTCTGAAATTGTATATGCGGAGCAGTAAGAACTGACGGGGGGATGTATTCTGATGCGTATTAACAGAAAAATTCCACAGTAATATATGTAGTATTTCCCAACTGGTTATTTTGCTTGATGTAAGCGTCTCCAAAAATAGATTTTCGGACATGCAGATATCTTTATCTGTGCGCAAATCGTCTTTGAAATTTGTCGACCTCAGAACCATAAATTCTTCCCTGGAAAATGACCTGGATCATTCAAAGCATTACGTAATTATCCATAGAAAAGTGTCCAAAGCAAGAAGGCAAGTGTCCATGTAGCAATCCAGTATAAATGGAAGTTTGGAACAGAAAAATGTGGTTACAACACACAATCAAATGATGAATGGATCCTCCTCCCGAGAAATGTGAAGATGCATCTTAACATATGGTGACCATATGGTGACGGCGTGGCTTGCAAGGGCTGTGTTCGGCGGGGCGCCCACCGACAGCAGAGTATCCACATCACTAGCTGCAACATGCCATTTTGCGAAGCCGGATGCGATGGCATTTCGATATTATAAGAAGCATCGGAGCGACTGCGGTAGCATAAAGCGGTTGGGCCGGCATCAATTCATGTCAATTGACAGCACAGTTGACATCGCCAGAATGTCGTTTCTGCTGGTGCTTGGAGCTATTGGCCATTAAACATCGTCTTGCTCAACCCACAGGATGGCTCGCAATTCGCGAACCGTGAGCCTGTCCTGCGAAATGCGTTCATGGCTTTCAACTGAACGCGCCTCTGTACGGAATCTTGGAGGAGTTGAAATATGGCATCGAAACTGGAAGCGGTGCCTAGTGTTTGACGCTTGCAGAGGGCTCGCAATTACCATGCACGTTAGGTATGCTTACCCGGACGCTCCCAAAGGTACGGAAATCGGCCCATGCTGCAAAATTCTGAAGGTGTCAGAAGATGTGATCGCTCCGGCGCGCTGCATCCTCTTCATGTGCTACGAGATGGCAGGAATCTGTGCACCGCTTCAAGTGTTCCACCGGCGCCGCTCGGGCGTTGACGGACCCAAGGGACCTCAGTTGTACGAAAACAGCCTCGCCAAAAGCAGTCTGTCGCCTGGGTCCTCTTGCCAGTCCTTAATGGGGCACAAAGGCTGTTGCCAGCGCCGATGGTGCCCGCGCGTGGCGTGTCGGAGAGGTTGGCGGAAAGTGACGGTTGGGAAGGGGTGAGCGCCGCTTTCCCGGTGACAGGTCTCTTGCGCAGCGGCCATCTCGTTGCAACTCGGACAGGTTGCGGATCGCAGTGGGAGCTATGGGGCACCATTTGAGACTGCCCAAAACTGAAGCATTGAAGGGCGATACTTCCCTGGGAAATTTCGGGGGATTCCTAGGAACCGAATTAAAGAGGTTTCTTTAGTACGGTTGATCTTGTGGACTGCAAGAATTTTGGAGAACGCTGAAATTCCTGAATCCTCAAAAACTGTGAAATTCGAAGGCAGCGGTCGGCGGCGACAGCCGTGCAGCTGCAGGCGGATTAATTCTGCGTAGGCAATACCTGTCGCCTTTGAGTCCAGATAACGGCGGGGATTTCCTTCAATTTCGTTTGCAAATTTCCATGATCTATGGCATCACAGGCTCACGGGAACTGAACGCCCGTTGGTGGTTAACCCGGAACGGCCAGAAGAAAATCTGTCTATAGTTGAATGAATCACACGTAGAAAATTTGTGCTTTGCTCCGCAAATGCCTCTGCAGGGGATGCACCAAAACTGATGTCTACCTGGGAAGACCAAGTTCTGAAGTTCTTGTGCAGGTCGGTGTCCGAGATGAGCTGCGCGACTCTGTCTGAATGGCCGCGACGAAGTTTCTATGGCAAGACATTGAGTCCTCCATAACAGCTTAGCCCGAATGTTCCTTGGACTCCAGGGCCAAAGGCGGCCTGAAGAAAGAAGCGGTCTGACAGCAAATGCATGCAATGCGAGCGTGGCTTCATTGGCGCCGGCTGGACTTGCCTTGCCACAGCAGCGCTTCAGAAGCGCCGCTGGAATGTCACTGGACGGCTTTATGCCATCGATTTACCCAGTGCTTTGGTGCCGCTGCGGACCCGCTGTATTCGACAGCGTTTCTGTGACCGAGGTAGGCTGATTGGATGTCTGTGCTTGCAGATCCGCACTGATTCCGCTTGGGGAAAGGCCACAAAGAGTTGCCCCGCTATGTATTAGCAGGTTTGGGCGGCGGTGTGCACTAGTGCGCATCTCGAGTGGTCCTCTTGTGGCCGCGGCACACGTGGCTGCTGTGCTGACACAGCCCACCTCCCGTGTCGAGTGCAGAGGCAGGTGTTGGGGCAGCCGTATGGGGGAGGGTCGCGTTAGCGCTCTGGGCACCACCTGTGGGCATTGTATGGAGTACGATAGAGCAAGGAACGCAATTGGGTTCCAGGCTTTCGGAAGCTCTGGAGGAGATCCCAAGGCATTGGCACAAGTGGATCAATGCTGGGGGGCAAGCAGCAGAGCTGACCAGCGCAGTTCGGTAGCGCTTGCCGAACTTTGAGCGGGACATCAGGCTCAGGGAGGTGCGCAAATGCACGCACACGGTGGAGGATTCGACGGCAAGCCTTGTCAGCACCAAGAATCGACGCTTTAGCTTCACGGACTATCGATACGTATATACGCTGTATATACGGACTATGCGAGTAGCTGTGACTAGACGGCTCGGGCCGTGCACGTCGCCGCATGCCACAGCGGTAGCGCTTGCCGAACTTTGAGCGGGACATCAGGCTCAGGGAGGTGCGCAAATGCACGCACACGGTGGAGGATTCGACGGCAAGCCTTGTCAGCACCAAGAATCGACGCTTTAGCTTCACGGACTATCGATACGTATATACGCTGTATATACGGACTATGCGAGTAGCTGTGACTAGACGGCTCGGGCCATTAAGACATACCCTGTGAGCATCTTGCAGAGATATCGGAGGCGAAGAGGGCCAGCCAGGGCAAAGCTCGCTTTCTCGGGCTGATTAATGGGACGCGCGGGACGACTACCAGGCCTTGTGGGTGGGCGACTGGTTGGGGTACGTGCTGTACTGCGTAGTGTCCAAACCTACTGCAAAGGCATCAAAATTTGCTTTGGTATAGAGCGGATGTTTTTTGAGCTCAGCGTCGGTCGGACACTAAGCGTACCAACGCCGACATAGCGTGGTCCCTTACAAAGTGCCACTACCTCAGGTTAGAGTGCACGAGCGACGCTGCGCCTTTGAGATACATGGGTTCACTGCGGAAATTGCAACAGAGCTAAAAATGTCGATCACGCTGCAGGCCAACACGTCGATTGGCACAGAACCATGACCGAGCTCTGTTGGCCATTGCTCTTGCAAATTGAGCTCACGACGTGATCCTCCACAGCACCACCGCACAATCCTCCGATGGGGCGTGCCGGCGACGGCCCTAAAGCCAAGCCACCAGCGCCAGCGCATTCGGGTGCTGCATGCTTGCCGCTGGGCTGCCCCTCTCCAAAGCCGGGACCGAGGAAATCAACTGGCGTGCAGATTCGCCAAGAAGAAGCGGCTGCGACCTTTGTTGCAAGCACGTCGGGGCGACCCGCCTCCTGAATGGACTTTCGAAACAAAAGTAGGTGGAATGGACGACCTGGGCTTCGACCACTCCCGAATGGTGGTGCCCAACAAGACCACCAAAGAGGTCGATGTGGGAAGTGTCTAACATCTTTGCTTCAGCCACTCCAAGACGATTTCTTGGACCTTCTCATTTCCGGGCTCGTGCATGAGGAAGTGCCACATGTCGTCGATCAGGTGCAGAGTCTTGTCTTTTGACTGCAGGAACAGAAGTCAGCTAAGCGCGGAAAAGAGCCAGAGAAAGGGAAACAACACAGAAAAACAACGGAGAAATGAACTAAGGAACCAGCTGCAACTGCAGAGCCGACGCTAAACTGCATCGCCACCATTAAATGGCAATTTGACTGTGATAGCAATGCTACACAGACCCTAAATAAAGTACGTCACGCTGAGCCATGGGACTACGCTTCATCCTCCATTTCCGGGGCACACATTGGCACAGGGCGACTGCATGGTGGGCACAATGTACAGAACAGTTCATCATGCAGTATATGCCAACATGTGTGCTGATTTCAACTATATGGCAACGTTACACACGGAAGCCTTGGGTCAGTGAAGCAACATGATAGCATCTGACAGCAGAGCACAGCACACCATGTGCTGGTCCAACGCACAGTGCGTTCAAGCATATCTGCCCATCAACCAAGCGCAACAGGGCATCTGCCGACCGCATTTTTATCCACACAATGGCGCAAGGCCAAGAAAGGCTATGCATGCGAAACTATACGTGTGTCCGAGTAGAACAAACTTTGTGTATTGTCCACTGGAATGTCAGTGGCTGGTCAGCACCTGAGTTCAGATGCAGCACCATACAATGAGATACGGAAGATGCGCCAATAGATTCCTTGATGGAAAAGACGTCTGTGAGCCGTTACCGGAAGAAGCCCCCTGAATTCGGCGTTTTCGGCCATAGAGGCACAAAGCGACATCAGCAGCGGCATGCATCTCGCTCGTGCACACATATATTGCTCTTAAAGCTGCTCCATCCACCACATACTGCACAGTGTCCTTGTATAATCCCAAAAATCCACATGCCAGCAAAAGCCACAGCTGTCTACTGCAACACTGACAGATGACCGCTGGCTTGCAGTTGTTAACTTCAAACGCTGGCCTTGGACGCCATCTGCATCCCTTTCTGCCAGTGCTTTTATGCGGAACATGCATTCAGGGTCGAACCACCATTCTTGACAAATAACCCTTATTTTTTAGCAGATACCGTATTTACCCGGCATTAGTAGGCACCCCCTATTAGTATCCACCCCCTCTTTGGGGGTAGAAACCACGTTAGTATCCATGATCCGATGTTAGTATCCACCCCCAAATGCAGACAGAAACGAGCAAAGGCATGGATGGCAGCAAAGGAAGTCGGCAGCTGGTGTTGGACCGCGTTGCCTAGACTAGACCAAACCATGTTCACTGCGATTCGCACATCGACGGGGACGATCGGGTCGGAGTGGATGGTGTCGAGGGAGAATTTGAAATAGGGCCTGGGAAAGGCCGCATGGTTGACTGGCCGCCGTTTGCGCTCTCAGCGCAGGATCGCAGGGCATCGACCGATGCTGCAGGGCCCAATCAAAGAAGCAGTCGAGAAATCAAAGCCGCCTTGTTTCTGGATTGAGTTAACCTCTTCCCTGGCCGGCCAGTGTAGGTTCTGGCCTGCCGCCTGCCAAGGGCGCCCCAAGGCCCAGCGCCAGGAATGGGCAGGCGACAGCGTTGGTCGGGGCGGCTGCCCTTGTGAGATCCCGCCTTTCAAAACTGCCTACAAAGCACTGCCAAGGCCAGGCCCGTCCCCAACTCGCACACCATACTAGCTACCAGGCCACAAACACAATCACAAATCACATCAGCCTTCCCAGCCGCCATCAGCCCACCAAAGTGCCGCATTTCAAGCTTATCGTTGCGACGTTGCGCCCCAGCGAGTTGAGACCCATATCAATCGTCGTTCTTTGCATTGCAGAGGAAAACGCGCCTCAAGCATTCCAGCGAACCCCTATTGGCCCCAATCGCCAGTCGCCACCACCTGATGCAGCTCCAAGTCAAGGCCGCCAGCTCCCGTGAAGGGGCTGACAACATTCCGCACTAGCATTGCCATTCTTGTCCATTTCTGGGCATTTCACAGCCTATTTGTCAAAGATTTTCTCTGTCTGCTCTTTGGGATTAGGGGTCCAAACCGCGTTAGTATACATGACCCACTATTAGTATCCACCGCTCATTTTGGGGGTCCAATACACGCCTACTAATACCGGGTAAATACGGTAGAATATTATCCACGTCATTTTCGAAATTGTCAGGTCCTCGTCCCTCCGGTGCCTGGCCTCTTTCATTCGTATTTGGTGCTGGGGAATATGTCTGGACCATAAACAGCTGCAGCATGGCAGTAGGCACACACATTTTCTGGTAGAATGAGAGGCAGCAACACGTCCCTGACAGGCGAGGGACCTGAACGCTGAGCTGTGGCAAAAATACCGCACACGGAAAGGCAGACAATCCCACCTGTGCTTTTTCGTGCATCAGTGCTGACCCCTCTGGATCAGTGAAGGTGTCCTCCTTGCTATGGATGCACAAAAACGGGAATTCCATGCTGGGAAATAACTTTGTCAGTTCGCTTGTTACTCGCAGGTATTCGTTGGCCACCCGAGCCCTTGTCATCTGAGTCCAAGTCCCTGGGTCTGCAAAAGAACACGAAAACAGGAAACCGACAGTCACTGCAACACTCTACTCCCGAATAAAATGTACCAATCACAAATCGTGGAATCAAAGACTTAAGCGCCATTTCCTTGAGATTTCAGCTGGAGCAGAAGCATCAAGTCTTCAGCTGACACCCATTGATGTACTAATTAACACCTAGAACTGCACTTGTTTGTGCAACGGCATTGTACATGTCTGACTACCTGGGCTTTGCCAGTTCTAACAATGCTCATGTACTATGGAAGAGACAGCAGGCGGCATGTCAGGTGCAGGCAAAGGATTGGTGCCAGTGTGAAACAGACACCGGAGCTTGAACGGAGAGATACATGAAAATGGCAGGTCACAGTGTTCCCGCTTTGTGCTGCTTCTATACACAGATATGCACAGATATTCTGCTATGTGAAATTCACCAATCCCACCAGCATAGCTGTCTTGATACATGAAGGTGCCATGGTGCTGGAGGATGCATGGAACATGTAAAGAAAGAGAATTGCATTGCTACCATCAAGGCGTCATAACTGGGGTGGGTGGTGGCACACCCAGCCCTTGCACCATAAAACATGCGATACAGGTGGACAGGTGACTGCAATCGCAGCTGACCTTTGTCAAACGCTTCCTGTATAGCTGGGAACTTCGTGTTTTTTCCATTCTCAGCCACTGGAAGCGCTGGAACAGCCCAGCTCAGCAGCGATGCGATGGGCCTGTGCAAGGGGACAAAAGCTGTGAGTACCATCATCAGACGCCAGGCCGTTGGGAGCACACCTCAGAGCGAGGGCATCGCCAGCTGTGTCACTTTCAACAAAGTGAAACACCCTTGCACCTGATGATTCAAACACTTAGGACTGAAAGTATGGAGGAGCATGTTGGCTTCATGTCTGTGTGCAATGCTGTTGTCACACACTACAGGCTACAGACAAGGGAGGTCACCAAGCCGCTTTTGTACCTATGGCAACGTTATGGCAACGTGATGGAAAATTGTGGTGTGTACCAAGACAGCTGTAGCACAAGAATTGTAAACACAGTGGCCTGGCCCAGTGCGAGTCCACTCATACAACAGATCTTGATTGAAAGATGGAACAAATAGCAGCATTTTTCCTCGTTACTCACTTTAGGTAAGGATTCAGGCCCTTCTTGGCGATTTTCTCCAGTGACAACATCGGTGCCAGCAGCACCGCACCTTTGAAGAGCGATGGCTGTGAGCAACAAACAAAATGACAACCCAGCATGCCAGACAGCGCTTTAGCTATGGACATTGCAAGATAGCCATGCGATCCAGGTACGCAGGGCAGATGAATGGGACAAACAAACGTGCAAGGCAGAAGGGGAGCAAAATTCAGTTCCAAACTCTTCTCTAGGAGCCCCCATTTTCATACAGACAAGAGACCAGGCAACAGCAAGCATGGACAAACAAGCAATACTTGGCTCTGGACGGCTCCATTGTTTACACAAACAAGAGAGCAGACAACAGCAAAGTACAAGCCATACAGGGCCATGGAAGCAGGGCATTGCCAGATCTGGAAGCCATCAGTGTGTGCAAGGACAGTTCCAAACATGGCAAGACCGCCACTCCTGATCCTCTCTCGGTTTGGTCCTCAGGCGTCCATCTGAAACTGCCAAACCGGCCTCCACGTTCAGAGGGGGTGCAACTTTGAGGAAAGTAAGTCGGCCCAAAGCTAGCAAGGCCGCAGAACCACTTTTGTCGATCTTTACCTCCCGATGGATGGCATATGCACATGTGCAGCCACCCATGCTGATGCCAAGAATGAACATTCCAACACCCGAAAATCCTTTTGCATCTGGGCTTGTTTGCAGCCACCTGGCCAGCACAAAATGAGAACAGAACGTGCCATTTCAATTCAATGGAGCGCTGTGCTTGTCAGATATTCTAATGTTGTTGGGTCTCAGCCATCCAAACTGGAACTATGTCTGTGCATATGGGCAGAAAACAAGACATATCTGAGTAATGTGAACTGTTAGGAGGCTGTTGGGAGGCGCATACAGAAGGGGTACTTAACATGTGTGGACATTTGCAGCAAATGCACAACAAGGCTATGGTTTTTCGCTGTGGTTGTTGGGCGAGCTTGTGATGTTCCTGGCACAGTTGGGCAAAACAGGGTAAAGCAAAAGTGAACGGTGTTTGCGGGATGCTGATATTATGCTCAAGATGAGCCAGCACTGGACATACGCTGTGTGGTGCACGATGATCTGCGAAAATTTTGGCACACAACGGTGGGAACACGTATACCCAACCCAGAGCTGGCTGTCCCTCTATCAACAGCATTGTAAGAATCCAATCAGATGTTGCGTGCACCAAAACCACATTTGCAGTTTTCAAGTATGCAACAGCTCTCAAAGCCGGTCTGTAGCCAAAAGAAGAGAAACACGTGAGTGGATTCCGCATTCACAGGTGGAGTGTTCTACCTTGCAAAATCCAGCACCTCGTCCACATAATCATCGTATTTCAGGAAGAAACACTGGGATCTGGCCGGAGAAGCGTTGTTAAGGGCCTCGACCCGACCTGGCAAACTGCCATCGCCAGGACACCTAGCCAGGGCACAACTGGCTGCCATCAAAGATTGTTGGGGGAACGGCGCCGGCGCAAGCGTTCGCTTGCAACGCCTGCGCGGAACGCCAGGCACCGGAAGAATGGGGATACCGGGCGAACTGCGGGCTTGGCGACGACGCGAAACAGCCAGCGGGCGCAGGAAATAATAACAAGAATCAATCACACTTGTTTCCCATGGCACCGGCGATGACTTTCCGGCACTGAAGGGGCCTCACTCAGTCGCACGGCGGTGGCACCGCAAGCAAGGGACGGCCAAGCTTAACACAACTTTGGGCGGCTAACGGCTCAAATCAATGAAGCTTGAGGGATGCCAAGGCAGGCGGCCGCTGCACTGCCCGTGGTCCTCAGGTACCAACGAAGCACATTAATAACGTAACACCTGCGGACTGCGCCGCCAGAGAAAACAGCTTCACGACGGGAGGCAGAGAAGCCTTACGAGACGGAAGCCCTAGCCGTTCCCACGTAGCTACTTGCATCGCGATCACGGGACAAACCTGGGATTCATCGCTTAACTGCTCGCCTGCATCCGCCGCTTTGGCTCCCTCCACCGAAGGCTGGGAGGAGGGACTTTGATGTGGTGCCGTGCTGGGCGTGCGGCAGAGAGCACAGGGTATTAACTTGGATGTGTCGGGTCAGGTGTGACGGGGCTCTAAATGAGGTGACGTGGCGTTCAAGAGGGCGTTGTCGGGCGCAGGCAGCCGCTAATATGGTGTCAAATCACAGACAGCAAGACTTGCCGGTTCTTGGATTCAGAATCACCCGGTCTTGCTTTTCGCGCCATTTCCAGTCTCTTGCAGCGGTTGATGCACCCTACCCCGCGCAAAAAAGGTACTGAAAAGATGAGGGAGTCAGCGAAAGGAACTGGGGCAGCGACATGTTCTGACAGATATGGTGGCATCACCACGGCGGTCTTCCATGAGCAGCAATGTACTGAAACTGGCAGCGAAGTTCTGGTGCTGCGCCCAAAAGCTGCAGGAGCGTTTTGCGTGACCTTAGCCAACCGTTATGTCCGCGAACTTGGTGCTGGCTCTCAGCAATGTGCCGCTTGCGTCAGCATTAAGAGCAGCGTTGGAGTTGTTCATGCCAGCCAATCCGCCAACCAGAGTGGGCAGTGCGGTCTTTGGACACGAGGCAGAGTTGTGCATTGCACGTGGCTTGATCGTGGGGATGGAGATTAAGGCATGGGATGGCTGGCTGGTACGCAAAGAGCCAATCAACAAGGGCGAGGCGATTTTAGAGGTGACTTCTTGAAGCCTGCGGGACATTGGACACAAACGTGGTGTGCGGGTGGAAGGTCTCATTGGGATGAAGAAAGAAGACATGTGCACTAGTTGAGGGAGGATTACAACAAGCAATCTCAACGCCCCATTCACCGTGACTGCGGTTGAGATTGCCCAACTTGCTTTTCAGCATGCCAGGATGGGGATGTCTTCCTGAAATCTCATCACTCCAGAATCCAAGCGGACAAGGAGGGCCATAAAGCAAGAAAGATTTCGTGGTCAATAAGACAATCCAGTGACTGGATTTTAGTCGTGTGCCCGGAAGGAAGGGAGCACCGTTGACTTAATTCAGCGAGGAGCCGCATCTGCCATATTGGCGGGGAGAAGCGGCACCATTAAAAATAGCCCACATTGTTTGCTTCATGTGGGCGACATGGCTGGAGTCCTTTGATAACAAGAACCGCTGCAAGCTCAAGGTCTCTGTCACAATCAAAACTTGACGGGATGACCAATGTGATTGACGTGGGCCACCTCATGCAGTGCAACACATGTTTAGAGTATTGGACAGTTTTAGGTTCTTGTCGCCATTGTTTCTTCAGTGCGGCTGTGGTCATTTTGGTGGCGTGAACAGAACTTCAAAAGGATGGTGACCGCTTGGCCAGAAAGTACCACAAGGCGCGAGCTTTGGCCTAAGTGCTGCATTCACTTGCACAAACACAATGTACGTACGGAACATGATAATGCAGTATTACCGAATTCTTAAAGGTCTTAATTGCTTCGTCCGTCCGGAATTAAATGAAATAATTTGTTGATTGACCGCACTCTTATCATGCACTTGTTCTTTTTCCTTCAAAATTGGACCAGCGTATCCACTACGTGTTGAGTCAATGCTGTCAAAAATTTATCAACAAAAAATAAGATTCATTATATGGTAGTACTTTGAAACCAAACGACTCAGCACCAGAATTTGCACACTCGCAGTCAGCCCCCCACCCCACCAAAACCTGGTGCCCTGGACCCAGGAATGCCTAGTGCAAGAGCGATGCCCTTTGCAGTGGCCTTCACAGTATCGGAGGGGGGAAGTTGCCTCGGCGCCCGGGCTCTAGTCTAAAGATCGATACCCTTCGCAACGCACGATCGACAGAATTGGCGCCTATGTCTATGTGCCGTCATCGATGGATGCTCAAAATTCCCCCCATCTTCCACAACAGCACGCCGACATGCCTGGGATCTCCCACTGCCTAGAAGTCTCCTGGTAGCTAAAGACTAGTCGTGGGATATCTGCATGCAGCGTAAGCTCTGTGCTCAGCACAGATCTCCGATTAAGTTCTTGCTTGATGCAAGCAATCCTTCTTTCCAAACAGGCTTCAGCCCCGCCAAACATGACGATGGAATATTTGTATGCTCTATCCAAGACCCCGTGTGTCGCTGTGGTGGCGTTCTTGCGTCTTGCAATGGCATGGGCGAAGCTCCATTACAGCGGCCCCCTTGAAAGCGGCGTGAACGGTGCGCAAAATGTTTCTCGCGGCACGTGCCCACCACAGCCAGTTTCAACGATGTCCTGGCTGCCACGCAGCGAGGGCACGATCACATTCTCCCAAGCCTTCTGTGGTGGCCTTAGCACCATCGGCGTCCTCGCCCATGGTGGGGGCCCTTTCTGCAAAAGCCGTGATTGTGAGGTTCGCAGATTTTTGGGTCTCCGATCCAGGGCTGTTGTCCTCATCAGGCCATCAAGACCATGGTGGCGATCAACGATCGAGCGGTGCAGAACCCGGTTCCATGTTCTTCCCCCTTTGGCAGGAACAGTGCCGACCTGCCGCCAAGGCGGCAGCCACCGGTAGAAAACGGCATGTCCGCGATGCCAACTGAGATGCTATTTTGACACAAATTGATGCCGTCACAGTGATTGAGATGGCATAAAAGTGGCTGTGATGGCGTCAATTTGTGTCCAATGGCCTCGCACTTGGCAACGCAAACATGCTGTTTTCTACTGGTGAGCAATATATATCCATTCTGGGCTGCGCACCGTCAGTCGCAAGGCGACCTGGTCAAGGACCCGTTTTGGGGGGTGTCGGGCCAGACCTTGAGAAACCTCGAAGTTTTGGTCTGAATCACAAGGGTTCAAAGTACGGCCATGTGGCCAGTACTTATCCATTACCCACAAAAAACTGGCAGTACATAGCAAATGTGTAGGTAGTGCCTGGATTCAATTTTGAAGGAAAACTAGCAATTTCGTGATACAAATGGAGCATCTTAAACAAACTGTCTCATTTATTTCTGGACGGAGGAAGTACGGGTGGGCACTGCGCATAAAACTGGTGGCGAGCTGGGCACATGCAACACCAAAAAAATACTCCTGCATTGTGAAGCCAGGTTCAGACCCCACATGCTGCCGCCAAGTCCGCCAAACATCACGCACACATTTCTGTGATGTTTCCAACGAGAGGCATCCAAGCGAGTGTCGCCATGGCATTGCTCGTTTCACAGCGATAACAAATCTCGAAATTCAACAACTGTCATGGTCGCCCACCGCCCGGCGCACAGCCGGCTCCCCACCGCAGAATGTCAGGCACACTTGCCTCACGGAAGCGCTCAATTTCCCGCATCCCACATCAAAAAACAATGCCTCGGGACCGCCTTCCACCACCATCAATTTCTCCCTATGTGACGCCAACCTAAGAAGCCACATCGACGGCGGCCACGCCTGGCTGCCCGTCGACCTCATATGGCGCAATGTCCATGACCGGCTTCCTGGATTCCGCGGCAAGCGCCTCCAGCACGTCGCCGAACGCCTGGCTAGACATGGGGCCGAAGCCGTTGCCCCACAGCAGCAACGACTCCAGGGCCGCGCTCGGCCGGAGGCTCTCTGCCAGGGACGCCAGTCCGGCCTCCCGTATGCTGTTGCCGCGGAGGTCGAGGTGCCTGAGCTGGTGGGCGTAAGGGAGGCACTGAGCAACGGCGAGGGCGCCGCTGTCGCCCAGGTCGTTGTGCGACAAGTTGAGGTCGCGGAGCGCGGGGCATTCCTTCAAGAGGCGGACGAGGGCGGGGCCTGCGAGAGGCAGACAGATACCTTGTCGCTGACTTGCTGATGAGGACGCTCGGAATGTGCAACGATGGCGGAGATAAAGTGACATAATGTGGATATGCCTGCAAGCATTCCTGCAGAGTCCTTCATCGGCGAGGGTGTCCGTGCAAGTGACGATTTGTTGCCAAAATTTTGGCACAAATTGGCCAAATTTTGGCCAAATTTCACCAAATTTGGCCAAATTCCCTAGTTTAAGCTAGAGTTTACTTGTTTGAGTCCAGCACTGCGCAAGTGGGGTCTCAAATTTTCCGCTTACGAGGGTGCATCTCTGGCGAGATGGTGTCCAGTCAGCTCGTATGTAAATCCGCACATTTCCCCACGACTGCATGCGTGGGCGCGTGGACATTTACATACACATATGCATATGCATAATGCAATCGACGGATTTTGATGACATGCATAATGTGCATGTGGGACGCCGAGCAGGACACAGCGTGCTGGATGGCGACTGTACGGACCTGACATTCCAGACAGTTTGTTGGCTCTCAAGTCCAATGACGTGATGCTCCTGTTCTTCGTCAGGCCGTACGCCAGCAGTGTCTCGAACTCGCTGTCCGTCAGGGAGTGCTTTCCCAGCCCCAGCGTCGACAAGTGATGGGCGCGGGCGATCATGAGGGCCATGTGGCACATGAGGTTGTCTTTGGGCCCCTGCACCAAAGGCTTCTCCAGTCCCAGGATTTCCAGGAAGTTGCGATCTGTCCACGTGGATATCAAGATGGGTTGGTTGTTGTCGAAAACGCCTGAAATACTCAGAGTCTTTGCAAGAAAGTTCCGCATTATCTAGGAATGTGTGCCACTGGAGATGCCTGCCCCGCCAAGGTGGACTGTGGGAAGATGCCACTTGGAACAATGGCGACACCGTGTTTGCAGGGGGACAATGAGCAGCACATCAATACGAAGCACATACGAATTGAATGGGCATGCGCTTCGTTCTGATGTACTCCCGGAAAAAATTTGCGTCAATGTAGGTTGCCAAACAGTATTGCAAACGACGGTTTGAATCACCTATCCCGACCTCATGAGGCCAGTCGCGATAGGCTGGTTCCTGGCTTGGCCGTACTAGCGCACCTATCCTTCCAGTTCAAAACCTCGACTGCCAGGCTTGGTTTTAACGTTTACGTTTTTAGTTTTACATTTTTAACGTAAATTTGCAAAAGGGCCTATTTTTACGGCTTTTTTTACGTTCTCGCGGCTCCTGGGACACCTAGGTTATACGATGAAAATTGCGTACAATTAGCAGTCCTCCGCCAACTCCAGCACCCGCAACACAATGTCCACCTCGCCCCTTGGCAAGGGCTATGATGGCGCTTAACAAAAACTCGTGTTCTGCCCTTCCAGGGCACCTAGCTGCCCCTCTACGGACTCCGCAAATCTGTATGTACTGTCCTTATGTACACCGGACAGTTTTTACGTTGCATTTACGTATTTTTACGCGTAAAAACGTAACAACTATTTTTACGCGTAAAAACGTAGATACGATCCGTTTTTATGGCGTAAAAACCAAGCCTGTCGACTGCCACTGAAATGGAGCGGTTCTCTTGAGCCGTGCACCAGACAAGAGTTCGCGGCCCAAAGTACCTGTCAATGCAGCGCACAGAGCCACGATGCCCTTCTCTCCCATGTCAGTGCGCCCCAGGTCGAGGTGCCTGATATTCACGTTCGTTCTGAGAGCCTCGGCGATGGCTGCCACGCCCTCATCCCCGAGCGGGTTGCCGCGCAATGACAACCTGTGCAGCGCGGGCCCCGTATTGCTTGAATGAGACAGCACTGCCGCGAGGGAGGCGGCGCCCGCAGATGTGATGCAATTTCCTTCCAATTGCAAAGACTTCAGATTCCTGTTGATCTGAAAAGACTCGCCGTCACAAAGTCTGGAGGAGAGGTAAATCACCGCCCATCTAAATGCTACTTTAAATGTGACTACCTGCTGCAAACTTTGTCCCCAAAGCGTGCTGCTGGTTTGAAGAGCCCTGGAAAGTTTGGTTTGACGTTACTTAAAAAAACGCAATATCAACTTGAAAAGGGAATTATCAGGAAAAAGCGAATGCCACAGATGCCCTGACTAAGTCCAACAGCCTGCATTCATGGCGACGCGGCGGAGTGGTGGATCCATGGCAATCACCGCGGCACAATTTGCTATCTTTTTCCCTACTGTGGCTGGGATCAGGCTTGGTATTTACATCGCAAACGCTTTCCTATTTACGGCTATATATGCGCAAAATAGTTTTTTAAGCCATTGGGGATAAATAGCCTTAAAAGTGGGCCCCGTGCACTTAAAGCCATTACATACAGAATCAGGAATCCGGGATGTGGCAGGTAGACGCGCTGAATTGCACAAAAATATGATCATGCATAAAATGATCTTTTGCTTGGCGATGCCGTTGCCCTTGCTGATGTGGGATAGGCGCTGTGTTGCAGGTGCTGGAGAGAGTGGAAGATCTATCTTTGATTACGGCACAATGATGTAATCTGGGAGTGTCGACGAGTCCTAAATACGGTAAATATGGCCGTAAATTGGGTGTTTCTCTATTTACGCTTTTCATGCTTAAAAATCGTAAACGTGAAAATGAAGCCGTAATTGACGGCTTCAATTTACGGCCCGTAAACTTAAAAGCCTGGCTGGGATTGATAGAGAGGCATATTGCTAGAGACACCCGAACGCTCACAATCAAACAATGGAAGCTCTGACACATGGCAATCCATTCAGAATGCCGTGTCCATTGCAACGCACCTTCAAAAGATGCACTATGCTCCTCATTCCAGAGTCGTCTATGAAGTTGTATGACAGATCCAGCTGAGTGATGGTGGCGTTCTCCAGGAGGGTCTCCGACAGAGCACAAACCTGCACGGTCAAGCACTCCCGCTGAATTGGATCTTGGTACAGGACGAAGAGTGCCTTTGCGTTGGTCAACAACGTATCAGAAAACAGTCCGAGTCCCAATTTCTTTCATATGCTATTTTAGCGACAATGTCCATCTTACAGAATGCATTCCGTGCAGATATTATGTTATCGTCGGTTTAAAGTTGCCGGTACTTCGTGTATCAGTAGTGCAAGCCGCGGCAAGAAATGGACAAAATGGTGCAATATAGTCCGCGTTTTTGGTTACAATTCACCAAACTTTCATTCATGCTGGATCGGCCGCTCGTTCGCATGGCAGGTTCTTCATATCAGTGCCCGGGCAATGCACACTCACCTGCATGCTGTCCAGTCTGTTGTTGAAGAGCTCTTTGCTGCCTCCGTACAGGATGAGATCCGCCTTGCCCGACCTGGCAGAGGGAGAACTATCTTACTATTGTTACCGAACACAACCTGGACAAGAATTTTATGGCGCACGGAGATATTCCCTGCACATTGAACACGGGTTTCGGTTCTCTTCTGTTGCTGAGAGCTTCAGTCTCCCAAAGGGGACGCTCACTGTGTGCGCAATCGCCTTAATGAGCTGGGGGCCCTTCCCCAAGCTATGGTTATGGTTGTCGATATCAGAGAGGCATATCATCAGCATCGCGTTGCCAACGTGGGTTATCGTAAAAACGCAGACCAAGCGAAGATGGCTTGGGCGCCGGTCGCGCAGAATTTCAAAGCGGCACCATGTTCATCTGCGCAGATTCAGCATGCTCGGCAAGGGCCCTGGCCCTTGCTCTGGAGAACACAAGCTGATTTGGGTGTCGCCGTTGCCAGAGCTTCCAATGACACTATTGCACAGCGCAACCAGCGCAAATCCCCTCTATGGGGTAGTGTTCCATCAATGAGCCCAGTGCCGTAGTGTCTCATTCTTCCCGCACGGCACAGGCCAACCCTGGCAAGCTTGGTTACATTCCAAAAAGCGAAATAGTCCATACCCTCCACCCCGCCCCGCCCCAACCCAACCCCAACCAAGTGTGCGTTAGACTCCTTTCCATACTGTAGAAAGATGGAAACGAAGAAAACCCTGGCGACACGAGGAGGCTATTTCCGCCGGCTGTGCTTGTCAAACGCCCCGTGGACGGTCCTCCCAGCTTCGTGGGGCGGTGGCAACAAAAGCAATGACTTGCTTGCGCTGCGGTGGCGCTCCGCAGCGGGACTGCGCACAGCTCAAGAGACGGGTTGACTGACCCATCGGCCTCGCCCAGTTGCTGCAGAACGGCGTCGACGGGTTCGCAAGCCAGCTCCCCACATTTCTTGACGTACGCCTCTTTCAAATCAGCGGAGGCCATGGCGCAAAGGCGGCAATCCCTGGCCCCTTTCCCTTGCCGCCGCTGTGGGGACGCTCAATTCCTGTGGGGCTGTGAACGCAGCTCCTGTCACGATCAGAGCAGGTCACGAACACGCGTGGGTGCACTGCCCTTCAATTGCTATGATTGATTAAGAAGAGTGATGGTAACGACGAACTGCCGGGGGGCGCGAAATACCCGGGGGTGGGGAGACACGTCCAGTTGCATGAGATGTGGTCATGAGTGTGACACTGTGTCCATTCTGTTGTGTTCAACACCAGTTGTCTCCAAAGTGGGTTAGGTGGGATGGAGACGGGGGTTTCAGGCGTGTTGTGTTAAGGAATATACACGTGTATGCTACAATGTCGGAAGTAATACGATGTTATACACGTGGTTGCACAAAATCGACAAACCCTAACCAGAGGCCCTGGGATTCAAGGCGGACGCAGTGGTCATGAGTTTCCGGTTCGCCATGACTGGCACAGCACTAGCAGAAAAAGTACCAAACAACACTTTTTGGGAACACATATATATGCATTTAATCGGTGTTCTGCATGCTGAAAACGCGGAAATAACCCAAACCCGTAAACTCTGTGCACGTTTGAACTTCAAACTTTGAACACGTGTTATTTGGCCCTTTTTGTCCTAGTTCAGTTTCTGCGGGGCACTGGACGCTGCAGATACTTATAGGACGCGAAATGCATGTCATTCGATGAATTTCCAATTCATTCAGACCAAACGCATTGTGGCTCCAACAGGACAAAATTCCCCTTGATGCGAGGAAAGTGCATCGATTATTGCCCAGCCAGGCAATCAACATGATGCCTGCTCGCACCAACAGCGCCCACATTGCCCAATACGCGCACGGACGGCGATTGTCACGCGTTGCTAAAAAGGGTGGCATGGTTGCTGTGACCAATCATTGCCGTCATCACGACGGCAAATGGGACAGTGCAAGGTAACGAAATGACGCTGCGCCAAGATTGTCGCGGTGGAGCAAGGTGTTCCAAAACTGGAAAAAAAGGTTCCTTTGGTTGCATTCGTCAACAGGTGACCAGACACTGCACTTGCACCTTCAAGACGCACTGACGAGCGGCTGGAATGGGAAGACACCAGCGAACCCCCAACAAATAATGAACCGATAGCCTTTGGCACATGCATATCTGGAGTGCCCTGTTCAAACGACCAGCCGCCAGCACAAATGCAGCCACAGCATCTGATCCATGTGCGGGAGATTTAAAACGCTACTCGAATTGTCGCTGCCCGTTCCCTGCTTGCCCTCTCCTCTTCTGCTCAAGCTCAACTCATAAAAGCGCACCCTGCACTTCGACTGCCTCACTGGGTGACTTGTTGCCACTTTCCGGTGGGAGATTCCTTCCAGAGTGAGACGTTGTTGCTGGCGTCCGACACGGCCAGAATGTTGCCGGTTATGGACCAGCTCAAACGCCACACCGGCGCCTGGAAGTCTTTGACAAGGACCTTGTCCCAACCAGCCTTGTCCCTCTCCTTCCACACAAGCACCTGCAAATGCACTACCTGTCAGGGTCGCTATTGTCGTGGTCCCTGCTCCAGCAAACTTCGAGGAGGTCAGGAACTCTGCCATTGCCACACTGTGTCCTTCGTCTCAATGCAATTGCCACCCTTTCTCAGTAACCCCTTTGAAGCACCTTGTAAGGCATGCACCCTCTGCTGTTGAAGCAATTTGTGAACACAAGCATCGTCACATGATCACTGTCCTATTGTGGTGCTAAGTGATACTGCATTCTACCTGGATGCCAATGCAGTTATGTCTGTTTCTGTGCACTTTGGATGTGATACTATGCACTTTGGGGGTATCAAGCCCATGCAAGGGGATGCTGTGCCCCAGCTAATCCACAATATTGCTCAAGAAGCGCTCAGGAATTGCAGTAACTTGTGTTCAGCTCAGGCGGCAATAGAATCAGCCACCTCATGGCACGTCCATGGTATTCCATGAACAAGTTAGCTGCTTCGTGAACTGAAAGTGCATGCCAGAGCTGCACAGCTCAAAACAGCTATTCCACATCACACTGTTCTCAAAGGTCGATGCTTGTTTGCATGTGCTGCTTCGTGTTCTGGGCCATGCCTGTTGCGTTCATTGAATCCTGTACCACATTGTGGAAGTGTGGCAATAATCTTTGCTGTATGTTGCTATGTTGTCTGCATGGATCATCTGGGTATTTCTCACATTTCGAGGGATACTGCACCTACCTTCCCATCCTGACCAGCGCTTGCGATCGTGTTCTTGGGCAGGCCCATGTTTGGGGCCCACGCAACATCCAGCACCCAGTCTGAGTGCTCAATAAGTTTGTGCTCCAGGGCCCACACATCGTTGATGTATGCATATATCTGCAAGAATGCACAACCACCCTAACATGCAATTCGCTGTGACAAACCATGCATTGGGTATCCCCTCATTGCTTTAACAGCGAAACACTTGATCCTGGGTGTTGTTCACAGAATGCTTCAAATCGCCAACAGGTCCACCACAGTTGCCCCCATTAGCCTTATTGCTCAAAGCTGTCAAAGGCACTGAACAGCTTGGCATCCAACAGCTTGACACAAACAGATAAAGCGCATACCCTTCCAACACATCCACAATGTAAACCGTTGAGAAAAGAAATTATTTGCCAACATCACAGCACTGCTGCTTTTGGCACGAGCCATCCAGCATGTAAATTGTCCCATGCTGGTTATGCACAAGGCATCCACTTCAGACGTCACCAGTGATGATCCTTGTGAGGTGCAGCAAGGCAAAGATAGTTGCAGCCCCCCCCCCTCCCCCTTGGATGCTCTCAGTGAACCAAAATGAGCAAACAAGGCGGACAGAAATAAGACTACCCAATATTGCCAGTCAGGCACCAGAGCAGCACTTGTGTCCCACCGATGATCGAAATCCAAGAACTGGCAGCACTCTATTTGACGCGGGCGTTGAATGGGCGTGGTGAAACTGTGGTACGCGGGCGCACCAGCAGGGATCGCCGGAGCCCAAGACACTGACCGGCATCCAACCACATCAACGGAGGGGATCTGTCACACATTCAAGGCACAATAAAGTCCTGGCTGCATCTGCTATCACAAATGTCAACATTTCGTTGTAGTAGTCCTGGCACACACAGCTGATGTTGCTGTGCCTGGAAAGTCTATCAGCACAGTGCTTGGCTTCAAAGCAGCGTACCACTGTGATCAAATTCTGTGCTACTTAAAACCTCCAATGTAGCCAGCTGAGGACAAATATCGTTCCATGACACCTAAGTGGCCACTAGCACACGATGGAATAGCACAGAATTAGCAGATGTTTCTGTGGCACTGCCAAATTAATCAGTAAAATACTTAATAGTACAACATATGGTCAACAGCCACCTGATCTCTGATGGCGTATGAATGAAACTGTGCAGCACTGTTGACATGTGCAGTTGCTGCAATTCGCATGTGGTTGGCCCTGGCAACTTTGGCAACAAACCTGCCATTAAGACTGGCACCACTGAATTTTCAGTCTCACTGTGGAGTGGCAGATCACGCGATTGTTGCTGCACGGAGTCAGCAAGCAAGTACAGTGGACTTTGAAGCGTGTGCCAGTGGAAGATGGCCCAGCAGGATTTAACCGTACAGCATCTGCCACAGGCATTGTCAAATGCTGAAGATAGCTCCTGCCACACACAGGGGCTGGAGCCTTTGCCTCCACTACGAGTGATGGATATGAAGATCAGGAAATACAGTGGGGCTACCAAACCAATTTTCTCTTATGCATCTTCATTCGTATTTCAGGTTACCAATGCTGGCCCAAGTTAGTTGATGGCAGTCTGGGGAGTCACTCGCATGGGGCAGACACACTGCGCTAGTTGGCTTTCAACCTTGCTGAAAGCTAAACAACAACTGTCACAACACAACAGTAAAAACATGTACAATTGGGCCCCACTTTGCTGGCACTACTTGCACCAGAATTCACCAGACTCGCTGGATCAGCACCTGGGCTCAAAGATCTGGCCCCTTTCATTGTCCACTCCCTTTCTGCTTGGCAACAGTTCAATTGAGTATGTGTCATCAAGTGTATTCAGTGAGGATTTATGCAACTCCGCAGCTCATGCACTTGCCCACAGCTCCAGCACTGAGCTGGACAATGTGCCTCACCTTCCTTGTGTCCCAGGTCCCATCAGGGTGGCCCTCCATAACAGACACTGTCCCGTCAGAGGATGCACAAGCAAGTATGAGTCCCAGCTCATAGGGTGCCCAGCATATGCTGTTGACTGACGCAGTGTGCAGGCTGGGCGGTGTCTGGTACACCTGCAAGTTCAATCCACACCAGTTTAAATTCGTGAGCAAGCCCTTTTTGCAGCGCAAAGATTGTGAAGTTTGTGAGATTATTTGATGGTTGGCATCAGCAGCATCACAGGACTCCGCTACTGCTCACTGAGTTTGTCCCAGAAGAGTGAAGAACGGCGCCATTGCAGGGCGATGGAGGAGGCAGTTGGTTTCATGGCGACACAGTACATCAAACGCCATTCTCTCAATGAGAGCAGCATGACAAAAAGGAGGCCAGCAACCCCGCCATCCCCACATCCCACTGCTGAAACTTGCACCTGCAAACATGGTATTGCCTAGATCTGGTAAAGAATGTTCTATTGTCAATGCTCTGGGGCAGATGCTGCAACCCACATAGGACAATCCCAGCAGTGTCCACACTCCAACCTTTCCTTTGGTTCAGATGGACACTACCGGCACCATTCAGGACTGACAATTGACATCTTAAAGATCTTTCTGACATTATGAGCATGACACAGAGCCGTAGCAATTTCTGGTGCTGTGCTCGATGTATTCTGAATAACAAGAGCAACAACACCAATGTCGTGCTCCCCAAGAGTTGGCTGACACTGACTACCAGCCACCACATTGGTGGGACACTGCAGTCTACTCAAGACGCTTCCAGCAGTGCACCTTACCCACATTGTTGCAAAGGAACCCACAGTTTCCAGAGCGTACAAAACATGTCATACATGACCATACATAATCTTCCCAAAGCAAGGACACCAGACCAGTCCCCCCCTGAGCACATGGATTTCGCCATGCCCTTGGGCACCTTAGTCCACCTGCCATCTTCTAACTCCTGCCACACGATCACAGTGTTGTCGAAGGAGCAAGATGCCAGCACACTGCCGTACTTTGCGTGCGCCCAGGCCACCTGCCACACAGATACATCTGCATCACATCCAGCAATATGTGTCGGGGCGCTGAAGAGGCGCCCTGTATTGGACAAGTGCGAGAGATGCGTATATGGGTAGATATGAAATGGATGTTGTTCGCCTTGGTTGGTGACAAGGGTAGTGGTGCGAGGGGAACAGGTGGCGCCCGCCTCACCTGATGTTCAGCATATGTTTGGGATTCATTAGCAGCAACATCATTGGTGGCCCGGTTCCCTATACCTGGGGAAGACCATCGTGCAGCGCTATAAAACTGATGCTGTCTGATGATCTGCTCGCGGGAGACACACGTGCCATGACCAGTGTATTGTTGCTCGCGCTGTTGCAATGGCTGCATTCAGTCAGCCAGTGCACGGAGAGGGAGTACAACGATAGTACGGACACGAGGGCGCCCCTTAGCAGCACAGAAAGAATCCCACAATCTCTTGCTGACGAGCGGGGGCGCCAGTTGCGCGCCATGTTTTCCCCTGCGCCAGAAAGGCAGCGATCACCTGCCACACGGGCCCGCTGTGGCCCTGCAGGTCGCCCACGAGCATCTGCTGGTCGCCCGACACGTCGAAGATCTTGATGGTCCGATCCGAGGAGCAGGTCGCCAGCCTGCGCCCGGAGTAGTCCAGCTGGATGTCATGCACCATGTCCGTGTGGCCCGTCTCGAAGGACTGCAGGGTGTGCGTCATGGCGCCGCCTCCCCGGCCGCAAGCGCCAGCGGGGGAACGGGCGGCTGCCTGCGGAACCGGGGGTCAGGCGGGGGCGGCAAGCGTGCTTCTTCGAGGCGAGGTGGCTGGATTGGGAGGACTGCAGGTGTCCCTTGTGCGGCCTGCAGGGGATGGATACCGTGCTGGGTGCATGTTGACCTCGGTCATTTGGCGGTGGAAGAAGTGGAAGATGGATTTTTCTTCCAGAGGCCAGCGCCAAGAGTCGTAACCAGAGCCGGTCGAGTATGATTTAACAGCTGGACGCACAGAGGTGACGAGGCTTTAGGAATTGCATTGAGGACATTGTGAGCTCATTGGATACGAGGGACAGAATTCCTGCTGTCCCTTTATTCGGCTGCAAACCGTTGCCGTGTGCTGGAGCCCGCGGTCCCCAGTCTGGAGCAGCCACCCCTCGACCCTGCCTGCCTTCGTCAACATGGGAAACGAATGATGGAGGTTGGGGATCCGACGGGTGCGCAGGGGGTCCCCAATGGCCTAAGGGCGTAGGGCTTGTCCCAAAAGAATCAGAGACCGCGGGCGCGTGGATGGTGAAATGAGCAATTTCTGGGTGGCATACATGTGTGCACATATCGTTCCGTATCGACACTGTTGCCAAGGGGCGTCGCATTAGGCCAGGATCGCAAGGAAAGCGGTAGCCCCAAAATTCCAAGAAAGTTCTTGGAACCAATGATGGCGCAAGACATGCCACGAAATCTTCCATTTGTGATTCAATAGAATTCCCAAACTGCACAAAATGCAACAGTGTTTCTACATGAAAGTTTGAACCATTTGGCGCGCTACGTGTGCCAAACCTTAATTTTCCAGAGGGATAATGGCGCACAATGCCAGCTGCCGCAAAGCGGCCTTGAAAGAACCTGACTCTCCACACTGCATTAGAGAACTGGCTCCTCTATCCACATGTCGTGACACATCACTGCAGTCCCAAGCCCCGACTCGCAAGGACGTTTGCTGCTGACTCCAGGCTGCCTATGGTCTTCCTGGCTTCCAAGACACAGGAAAAGGGCATCCCCAGGCTGACAGCGCTTGCTACTCGTGCTGCTCTTTGTTGCACGCATTCCAAGTTGCACTGGAAACCTTGTGCAATATGTCGAAAGCACGAACAAGAGTGTGGCAGCTTCTGCCCAAGAAAGTAGGTGGTGGGTGCGCGGTGGATCTGTTTCGAATTGCAAGTATGACCTGCACGAACTGCTCGCAGTACACCAGCAACAGAACAGAAAGATTCAAAAAATTAATCTAAGTCGCAACATCACTGCTCAAGCAACGAGCCCTGCTCAACCTGCGTGCTAGTAAAAGAGTCCTGAACAACTTCAACAACGCTCCATCTGCGGACTCGCAATCAACTCCAAATCGCTGACGTCGTGCCATCCAAACAAGCATAACCGACGCCAATGAATCGGAGTTGCAGCAAACCTGCGTGAACGTCGTTCGATAAGGCGTTCCACAAAGACCGAAAGAACAAAACACCGCCAGCGCAATGTGCCCTCCAAATTCTCCCCATGCCCAACCAAGGCAACTGCAACGCCCTTCCTTCTATCACGTGTGTGGAGCTGCTCAACACAGGGCTCAAAGGCCGCCACCCAAAATCGAAAGGAACAGCAAGTAACCATTTGTACCCAAAGTGCAAGCAAAGAAAGCCACTGCCAGGCACATGAGGATTGTTTCATGCAAGAGGAAGGAATCAGCACCTGATCCAACCTTGGGAATCTTCCCAATTACATGAACATAAACCCTGGTTGTCAAGCTGAGTCTGAGGAGTCTTCAATCGCCAGGGCCATGTTGAGGCTCTCTAGGTTGTCATTGACGCCTCCGTAATCAAAGAGACGATTGAACCTCCAGAATTCGCTGCCTGGGTATGCAGTACAAAGTCAGAATACTGCCCATACTGGGCATGCAATTGCAGGCACTGCAACATACATGAACATTACTGTGGTACCAGCTTGCCTCAAATTCTCCTGAACTCCTGCAATATCTGTAATGCATAGCCAGTACACGTATGTTTTCGTTGCCATGAAACAGCATACATGAACACACTACAGCTGACCAGCAACACAGCCAGAGGATGCTCAACAGTGACTGAGACCTGAGACCTTTGGTAGGATGATTGATGTACTGATAATGCTTGTGGGGTACCCACAAAAGTCAGGCAACTACTGGCACTGATGCCTAAGTCAGTTCAAGGTGCAACAAGCAACAGTTGGGACAAAATGAGAAAGTCGTGTGCATGAGCCCAAAACCAGTCACACTTGACCCAAGCTGGTGTGAGGCGTGTTGGACACTCCCTTTCATCAAGTTATCCTTTGTAATGGGCCCCTTCTGCTGTGGCACCTCAATATCGCCTGTCGCCGCTGAAATGCCAGGGATCACACTGTGCGCACGGCCGTCTGCCACAGCAAAATCGCAACAATCTGTGCAAGTCTCTCTGTACCTCCCGCCCAACAACGTCCTTCTGCTCAAATACAGCACGAATGCCTTGAAGTTCAAGGGCTGCAAAGCTCCCTATTCCTGTGGCTGGTCCGCTGCAAATAGCATCCACTCTCACCTTTGAGGTCCCCAATTGAAGAAAACACCCCTTTGAATTCATCGAACCACTGCTCCAGCTCGGATATGCTGAAGTAGTTGATTGGGAACTGGCTGCTGAGCAGCATGCCCTCTGTGTGGCGCGGCACCTTGTTCGCCAGGAGGAAACTGAACACGAGCTCAACCACAGACTCAGGGTCGACCTTGTAGGGTTCATAGTAATCTTTCCCTGCAAAAAAGAAACAGCCCCTTTTGGTATTGGCTTGAGGGTGATCGGCCACTTGTGCCTACTTGTACTGCGCAAAGAAGCATGTCACACGTGATAGGCTGCCAGACCACCGTCATTTGGCACAACAAACGTTTTCGGCAATGCAGGTTCAGCAGCTTGATGCCTTCGTGAACACGAGTTTCGGATACTAACGGTTTCGATGGTTAAGCTGGCGGGAGAGCGTCAGGGTTGCTGAGCGTTTTGATACCATAGCATCAAAACCATGGGCATTGTTGGTGTTTTGCACATTTTACATAAATCGAACAATGTTTGTAACATAGGCCTATGTGGAAGGTCCTCTTTTGAGAGCAAGTGGGCTTGGCAGGTTGCTGTGCACAGTGGTAGGACATTGTGCCAATAATTTATACCACAAAAGCAAAGCTGTCAGTAGAGACTTCCTACCAATTATGATCCTGTGCCTCGTCTCCACATTGTCATGGTTGACAGAAACATCGATCATGTAACCGCCATTGGTTGGGAACTTGCTCTTGAAGAAAAGAGTGAAATCTGACTCTTGCCCATCAACCACTGTTTTGCACTTTTTCGAGGCCTGCATTATGCGCTCCATCTCCTTCTTCTGCTTCTCCAGCTCTTCTGGCGAAAGTGCCTCAGCAGGGACAAAGTCAACCTGTCGAAAATGAATCCATCAGCATCACCAGTTTGCTATATTTTGTGCACAACAGCATCCAATGGAATGTACAGTGGTACACTGTGCAGAGTGTGAAAATAAATATGTTTTTGCAACAAATCTACTATATCACACATGTGATATTCAGATATGTAATTCTACATTTGAAACTAGAAATGCGCTTTAATTTGAAGAATACAAGACTTTGCAGTGAACATGGTAGTCACGCTGCAAAAACACATTCACAAACACACTGCTCAACAGGTCTGGCATATTGCCTCGCACAGATAATCCCAGGCTGGACTTCAGAAACGAACATTCAGCAAAGACCATCGGTGCTTGTTTTACAAATCATGATCCACTCAGTGTCAGACGAGATATTGAGGGTCCCCCTGTCAAGATCAACAGAACGAAGAGAATTTGTGCCACACACCTGCCCTTCGACAAGTAGGCTTGCATTTGGCATGAACTGTTCTCTGCAGCCCCTTTTCCTAATGGCCTCCAGCAGATCCTTGCTCTTCTCTTCAGCAGCTTGCAATTTGCCTCTGTCGGATATGGCACCGGCATCGACTGGCTGCTGCCAGGCCGCCCTTTCCATGGCCACTGAAGCACGATGGCGGGCACAGATTACAGTGAGTGCGAGTCTACATCACTGGCAATTGTCACAGAGGGCAAATCCCTGCCCTTACAAATATTTGGCAGTATTGGGGCGTTGCAGCAAGCAAAGCAGCAGATGCCAGGTGAAAACCCACACCTCAGAACGTTTCCATGGTGTCAAGCGATTTATGCTCCTGTGGACACTGTGGTGCACGCTTAAGCACAGACTGTTCTCGGGCACTTGGTTGTATGAATTGCGAACGAAACCACCTGTGGGTTGGAGCGTTGTGTGCTATCCGGGACAAACACGTGCATAACAGATTCCCACAATCCACTTTCAGCCCTTGCAACCAAATATGAGTTCCGGTTTGGCAACCATTTCTATTTGTATGGCCACACAGAACCACATGACCACAACAGGCCAGTCAGTTCTAACAGGACTCTTCTGTCGGATTTGGCTGCAGACTTGGTGGGCACCCAGCCGTGAGCAACTCACATTTGTTTCCAGGTGGTGGTCCGCCAACCTCTTCGAACCACGCCCCCCGAGTAGCCACCATCTCCTTCTGGTCGACCTCAGGGAGGCTGACATACTTGTAGTAATATGCCTTTTCTGGCCGCCTGCTGAATAGGGTCCGCAGAGATGACTGGAGGTCTTTTGAAAAGCCAATGTACTGGAGCTTCTGATTCTCATCGTAGATGGCAAAAACGAATGCCTGGGCCTTGCCTTCTACTTCTGGCCTTATGTAACCCTGAAGTGAAAGTACCAACCAAATTGAGGGAATGGATGCCTTTGGCTGTCTGGCAGCAAATTCAATAATCCCTGGATCAGGGAAGCGTGCTTGAGGCCTGGAAATGCAGTTAGTGAGGAAAAACAGATAAACACAGAGAATGCCTTCATCGCCATCTAATAAAATTGTTGTTGTCTGGTGAATACTAGTCTTGTGCGCCATGTCACGCAAAGCGAGTTGTGTCCATTCCGACAAAGAACCCTGGCGAGGTTGGAAGATCATGGAGCGGTTACAGACCAGTGACCACCCTTTCCATGTGGAGATCAACACTGCTGTCCTGGCTGAACAATAGTTGCCAACTCCCCTCCACTGCATTGCAGGCGATTGTCAGTGTTTCTTCAACATTCAGCAGGCAGTGACACAGCTTTTTTCTTTTCTTCCGCATGAAAGGCTTTCACCTCACCATGTCGTCTAAAATTGTGTTGGTCTCTATCTCCATCAATTTATGGGCAGCGCACACCACAGAATGCTGGGCCGGGCCATCCCGGCTGGGGACTCTGCATTCTCGGTAGTGTGCAGCACCCAAGCCCCGTCCTGTCCTCACACCGCCACAGCTCGTGGCAGTGGATGACACCAACTTCGCGTCAGAGCCTCTTTGTGAGGAGAACACAGACTGATGGCTATTCATCCTGAGTTCAGAACAAAGCATTCCCACACAACCAATTTGTTTCTCAGCAAGAGTTCAAAAGGAACAGGCAAAGCCACAGGCGGTGTTCACTGTGCAGAAGTGTATATGTCCCTCGGTGATTCGTTGCACATCAAGGCGTGGCTAATATAGGGACATGCCCTATAATTTGTGCTAACTGTAATTGAACTATCTGTGTCCTAACAAGCCAACAGATGCTGCTCATTGGGGTATGGTATCCGGTACATCAGCAGACACTTTCTTGGCTGCAGCGTGTCTTTCCATACTTGGCTAATGCACTGCTGCCAAGCCAACAATGAGGAGTCTAAGACCGACAGCAGCACAACCAGGGGATTTTTTTATTTCGCGACTTGATGGACACACCGGCGCTTCACTCGCATGTTACCTTTTTGATTCCAAAGTGCACAAGTTCTACATGATAGCCTTCCGGCTATACACATTTACCGCCGGAATTACGAAACATAGGGATATGACCGTAAAAGAGCGGTGTCCGCTGCAAATGCCGTGCCCATCAAACGCCATGGCAACTGCAAGTTCTCGCCGCACTTGCTGGCATCTCAGTCAGTGCAATACACCAGCTGCATCGAACACCACAAACCCAACCCATCGCGGACTGAGGCCGTGACGACTGTGCCACGCCGACCCAGAATTCACTGCAAACAGACGGCAAAGAGTGCCACACCAATTGACCAAATGATCTCTACACCATTGCGCTACGGTGGAGAGGCGTCACAGCGTTCCCGCGGCCCAGCGCCTCGCTGCAAACGACTCCGCGATGACAGCCGCGAGCAGAGGCCAAATGGGCACGCGAACAGCTCGTGTCCGTCTGAATTCCTCCCGCATCAGATCCCCACAGACAGGCTTGCACGCATTACCTTGCCACGCGCCGCACTCCCGAAGGCAGAGGACAGCAAGGGGTGGGGGTGGGTTGGGAGGGGGGGGGGGGGGAGCAGCCCTGTTCGTTTCCCAAAAGCGAGATCTGTCGACTAGAGGATGCGCGGATGGCTGCGGCCCCCCTATTTCATTTCCCGATGCAATGATGACGTTGGGGAACGCGAGCCAAGCAACTCCCAGGTGGCCACAGTTGCCTTAAGGACTGGCGCTCCCTTCCGCTCCGCGCCTTGCCTGTTGGGTGGAAGGGTACTTAAAGGGTTGGACCACCCTCTTCCTGCCCCTTGCCGAGCTGGTTTGGGACAGCAGTGGTACCCGGTTCGATCCCCTGTCAGACATCCTCTTTACCATTGGCACATAGGCATTGCCCCAGACAGCGTTCGGCGCAGCGGCAGTGCGTGTCTCGTCGCCCGCTTCTGCACCGGCGGCACGCCCACGCCATTTTCGCGAGCGCACGGAAAAATGGCGTTTGCATCCACGGGGACCGCCGACCTGCTGCGCCCTACGTTCTTTGAGCTGGTGGCAGCGGAGGCCCTAATGCCCAGCCTCAAGGCGGCCCTCGCCTATTCCCTGTGGGTAAGGTCGCTGGGAGGTGTGTGGCGACTCCTGCCGGCAGCATAGACTTGTCACAGGGTTGGAAACCGCTCTTGAGGAGCCGTGTTGGGGGCACTGTTGCTGTGTCTCAAAGATGAACTGGCTATATGACCGAAAACGTCGATGCAATGTTGAGGAGAGACACACACTACTGGGCTGGATCATGTGCGAACCAGAAGATGATAGCGTTTCAGTGGCTTTGATGGCGTGGGCGGTGCGCAGGTGAATGCACAGCGCCAGGCTTGGATGGGCCGCGCCTTGAAATATGAACATGAGATCTATGCGGCTGTGGCTCTGTTCCTGGAGCACCAGAGCTTGTCCGGCGACTGTGGGTCCGTTTCGGAGGCCATGTACGGTCTTTCGAGAACACCGGTTGGAGCAGCCCCAGGCACAAGGATTACGAAGAGGCAGCGATGGATTTCTATTCTCTTCTTGGTAAGCAGAGCTTATGTTGGCATCATGGTTCTATGCCGCCGAGGAAATTGGGCATCAGTCCGTTGTCGTTGTGGACTGATGGTGGATGATGCCTGTTGTGAAGCGTGGCCTTCTTGTGCAAGCGTGGCAGGCCAGCGGTGATCCCCTCGTTCTTCGATGGTGCCCACGTTTGGTGCAGAGAGCCTGTGCTTGTTCAGGTGCACCCTTGTGTTGCTCCTCCTGTGCTGTGGGCTGGATTGTTTGCGATGTATTTGGCATGGGGTTGCCCAAGAAATGGAGTGGATGAGTGGGGTGCACAAGGTTGTTCTGTGCGATGTCCAGGTGGCAGTGCCCTACATGAAGGCCAAATTGGACTCTCTGTTTGTGCAACACGGGAGGGTCAGAACCCTGCAGCAAACCATGGAGGGTACAGATGAGGTGCTGTGGGCAGCTGTATGCCAATAGTTGTTCTGTCTGACAATTTGCGACATAATCCAGCGGATTCAATAATGTCTGCAGAGCAGCACTTACTAGGCGCCAGTTCTTTCGTGTCCACAAAGAATTCGCCTGCATGAGATGTGCAGCACAGATGATGGAATGTGGGGTTGGAAATAGACTGTTTGGTGCCGTACAAGGTTGCCCAACAATCCATTGGATTCATCAATCAAGGGTGCAGAGTGAGGTTATTCATGGAATTCCAAGTCTTTTGCCAGGAAGCTCTGCAATATGTTATTTGTGAATTTTGAACCTGCTCTTCCTAAGTTGCACCACAGCTGGGATGCTGGAACAAACACTTTTGTGGCTTTGTTGGCAGACTGGCGAGAGCTCACGGAGCCCCACAAATGACTTGAGGCAAAGGCTGTGCTTATGGCTGATGCGTGGTTTCTCATCGATATACCCATGGATCCATGCTGGGTATGAGGGCTCCCTATTGGCCTACCAAGTTCTGTACCTTGTCGAGAAGACCCAGTGTTTTACACCGTGGTTGCACATCTTGGGATTGCGCATTGTCCGGGCTCCAGCTGAGGACCAGGTTCGTTGCCAATCGATTGATTGCATTCGACAAATAGCTCCAGAGCCCTGCCGGTTGCACTGCTTTAATTCATTTGTCAATGTACTCCAGGCATTCCCAGTCGCTCTTGCATCTTCAATGCAATGCCTGTCATGTGTCGATCCCCCCTCTTTGTTTGACAAGATGTGATGACCTATCTTGCCCAAAAACATCACTCATTAAGCAAGATTGGTGAGAGCGACTGGCTGTGGTTACCAGCATCTTGATTGTGAATTGCGTTATGGGAAAAAGCAAGCTATCGAGATGGAATCTGTGCAGAAATGCCTGACAGAGATGCTCGCTGCATCTGCAGACCATTTGAGAGGGGTCAAAGTACAGAGTAAGAGTGCAACAGCAAAGCCTGTTGTAGCAGTCCTGCACCACCCAGGCGGTCTATTGACCATGATCGCTGATCTTGACTTTTGCACTTTCTCAGATGCGTAAGAAGAACAGACTCCGGATGCAGCGGTGGCGACGAATTCAGGACATACGGGGCAGCGCATCATGGTCTTGGCTCCGTGTGCTCAAAGAGACCCTCTTACAGTCAGGATGGGCGATTTCTGACAATGTTAGGACTTCCCTGATCATGGCAGTCTTTGCTTTTAAGGCAAGTACAACACTGTGTGTGTGTGTGCCACAAGGGTGCCACAAGGTGCTACTGTTGCGAACGCATTTCAGTGCTTCCAATTCTCAGAATGCCATTCACTTGGCCAACCGAGTTACTGTAGAACATTTCACATCCTGCCTGCCACAAAACTCCTGTGAACTAGCAAAATATTTTGAGCATGACCTCCCGTGGCCATTGAAGCATGTAGGCCTCGATCGCAGGCGCTGGAGTGGTGGTACACAACAGCTGAGGAACGTTTGGCAGCCAGCCAGGCATTGCCTGTCCCTCCCCCACCACCTGGACCGATGCCCCACCCAAATGGCCTGTCACTCCCACGCAGCCCAGAGCTGTGCCCCATATGCAGGTGAGTATGATGGGCTGCAGCACAGCCAGCAGTGCAAAACATGCACAGGACTCCCTTTTTGTCATGAATAAACTTGTCAAACTTCATTCTGCCAGCTCAGTCTTGTAAATTTTATAGAATTGTTGGTGGAACTCAGCATCCAACGGCTATCTGTTTATTTTTTCAGGAATGTGCGTTCCAATCCAGCCCACCTGACCGCTTCGGGATTTGTCTTCTGCCACCAATGCATCCACCCTTTTGTGGACAAGCATGGACACTGTCCAGTGACGCTCATTCCGGCAGGGCTGGGCCACATAAGGCGACTATACAAGGGATCATGAAGCTGCTGCAGTCAGCACCAGAAGTGGTGATATGCACTGTGACAAAGTAACACAGCTCACATGTCTTCACATCTTTGCATCTACTCTGATGTGCTGCCAAGGGGCCATTCTGTGTGCAGCCGAAACCTGTATGGGAGCCTGGCCTGGGCACACTGTGCGCAAACAGGTCTGTGGGTTGTAGGGCTCACCGTTCAGGAGCTTTGGTTTGGAGTGCTCTGGCATGTGCACAATCACTCACAAAGGGCTGGTTGGATGGGGGCACCCATGGATGTGTGCCGGCCTATTGCAGAGGACACTGTGTGGTGGCACCCGAAGAGATGCCATCCTTTTCAACAGGGACAAGGCAGACAGAATTCGGGCCGATGCACTATGAGCACAACTTTCAAAGCAAGCACATATCCGCCATCCTCCCTCTTCCAATTGCCACTTTTCTTTGCCTGGGCGGGACGAATGCTGGACACGCACATGACTTCCAGCTGCCCATGTGAGCCACAATGAGTGGGAGTGCATGGTTTCTGTGGTATGGGTGGAGGAGAGCTTTTCACTTGTGGATGCTCTCTTGGCGCTATTATTCCTCTCTTCCTGCACAAGCGCACATGCACGATGCCAGATAGTAGGCTTCCCCCTGGTGTCGCGATCTGGGGAGCACTGGCCATGATGAGCCTTCCTTTCTCCACAGTGGCTTTGTGCAGGGACACAGGCTGCTCAGGTCCAGGTTGAACTGTGAAAGGTCACCAGAGGCGTTGTTTCCAAAGTGTTGCACGGAGAACAGGCTTGGCAGGTGTCACGCAGCTTGGCATCTGGCCACCATTTGGTCTCATTCCACAATTCATGTGTGTCTTCGCGAACACACTGCATTGTCTCCCAGGCAGATGTGGTGAGGCGCATTAGCGCAAATGGACATGGTAACCAACGAGGAGAGACACGCCAGTAGGAAGCTGCTGGTCGCAGGCATATGCTTCAGGGGTGGAAGCACTGGCCTGGGCACAGGAACGTGTATGGAATGGAGGATGAGCATGGAGATGGCGCCAGCTGCTGCAAACATGCAGCGCCATACTACGCTTGGGTAGGTCGCAACCGCTGTGATCAGAAAGGGCCATTGCTGGGTGACTGGTGTTCAAATGGGTTACACATGACCTCTATGTTTGGAGAGAACGGATGCTTGGTTGCCACTGCGTTGGTGCTTTGTACATGTGGCTGGATGCTGTTGCTTGATGCCACAGCTGGTCGGAGGTTGGGACATGGTGCTACGAAGCGTGAACAAGGTTCCCATTGTGTGGTGACTAGACTGCCTGCTGTCTTGGCCGCCGCGCTGCACAGCGCATGGCATTCAAGTCGTTGCATTTGCCACTGGTTTGTCCCAAGGCAACCATTACAAATGTCACCCCAAAGGATCGGCGCTGAAAATGGGAGGGGATGGTAGTCGGTTTTCAATGTCAGCGCGAATTTGAGGTAAAGCATGCTAAAGCCGGTGTGTGGCGAGGGCTCCAATGCGATCCCTACATGGACCAAGCATGGTCCCTTCATTTTTCAAGCAATGACTCATCCCTGATTGGCTGGTTGGCAGACTGACCGGCTGCTCGGTTGCTAGGTTAGTTGATCGGCCGATTGATCAATTGATAGATCGTCAGGACAAAAAATCACGCAGTGGCTTCTTGCTTCATGATCTTTTTCGAACTACTGTCGAGAAAGGATGCAGCAAAACTCGTGAACACGAGCGGCCGACCGTGAGAGTGGCGGCAAGGTTTGGTGCTCAATACCCTGCTCATGTCAGCTTTCCTCATATTCCGCCACCATGCAAGCCATTGGCCACCGCCCTTTCTCCCAAGATGGCATCAAAGCCCCCTGTAGCGCTCTCTGGCAGCCCAAGGCTATGCAGCTCTTCTGCTTGCTTTGCATTTGGGCAGTTTTTGCCCCGCACACAGGGTCGCCAATTGTCTATTGTCAGATCCTCTGTCATCATTCCCACACGAATGCCTGAGTGATACTGGTCACATTGTTGAAATCCTATCTTCGTCTCCCCGACATTCCCCAATTGAATATCGGGGATGCACGGAAAGGAACAATGTCCTTGCAATCGCAACGATGGTGAACATTACACTGGGCTCATGTGCATGCCTTACGTGCACGCCCATACATCCTTCACTGCTGGTTGCGCCACCCAAGAAACCGCATTGCAGACATGCGTTCTTGCTTTCCTTCTCAGATCCTGGATGGATGGTACTGATGAAAGTCGCTGTAGGAGCTCTCCTGCAAAGGAATTCTTGCTTTTACTCGGTCCCTCAAAGGACACATCGCGGTTGGAGATTCATGCGTCGCCTTCCAAGGAGGAACCGAGCTTCCGTTGTGTCAAAAGGGTATTGTCCTTCTCATGACATGTCCTCGTTTTTCAGGACTTTCAATACAGACCACAGTTTGTTCAGTATACACACATTGATGATCGCCGGTTGCATAGAAACTCGTGACGAAAGTCGGAATCTTCCATGCATTGCGCAGCCACATGCCTGCGCACGACATGATTCAAAAGCTGAACAGGAACTACTGCTCGAGAAGTACAGAGAAATGCAATGCTATGTGTGCATTTGCGGAGCAATTGCCGGCGCTTGCATGCTCTGTACCTCCCATCGAGAACGGCATTTAATGCGCCGCCAGGGCGTTCACAAACTCAACTTTACGTGACATTTGAAAATACTGTAATTGGTGTGGCTGTAAGGAACTCTGATAGTCTAGGAACGGCGCTAGTAGTGTTGACCGTTGCATTGCGCAGGAGTATTGAATCGATCCGGTTGTCCACATCCCTTTGCAAGAGCATCCTCGCTCCCAAGCGTTGAGCGCACAGCTCCGCTGTCCAAGGAAGCGAGAGGGCGGATTGGAGGACAAGGTGTTCAGCGCAGAGCTGCACCGCCCAAGGCCGCGGAACGAGAACCGGCCTCCTCAACCGCCAAGTCAGGGTCAAAGCCGAGACCGTCACAAGGTGACCGCGCAGGACCACTTTGATTTTCTGCACGGCAAGCGGCGTCGCAGTAGCGGGCATTCGAACGGAACGTGACCGCTTGTGTAGCTCAGTAGACTGCGGGGTGGGCGGCATTTTCCCTCTCCGCATCAATAACGAGCATTGTGGGTCAGTGTGCGAAGGGCTCGGTCACCGTTGACCGCTGAATGTGGCATGTGCGCACATGTGGCATCATGCACATGCATGCTCGTGCGCCTTCACAAGTATTCAAAATTTCCTCTGTGGCTAAATTGTGTATCGTGTTTCTGGCACATGTGCGCATTGCCCCTTCTGCTTTCTTTATATTCGTCTTGTGAATCTGAGAGGCGGAATGTCAGTTTGCTTGCATGAAATTGCAAACGATCATCGGGGCACAATGTGTTGATTACATTGTGCTCATATAGGTGTTCGCAGTGGGTTCACTTTGATGCGTACTTGGAATATACGTTGCTCATGCTGCGCACAAAACGGTCTCATGAAATTGTAATCAAGCACAATAGTCAACCGCCAATGAGAAGATCGTTTCATTTACGCATAGACTTTGTGAGCTCATGAAGTTGGGCGCACAGATCTTCTGAACATAGGATTGATGGAGAATTTGGGTGCAAGGCTGCATGTGGGACTCTCCACAGGCGCAACCGGCAAAGGCTATGAGCTAGTACAATTCAAAGCTAGATAATCTACTGTGACGGCACGTGGCGCACGGGCCACGCGCCATAAATGACCTGCGCAGGTCATTATCAGGCATAAATGCATGCAGTGTCCTTAAAACAAGCCATCGAAATCACCGAAGTGTGTGTGTATTTAATGGTTACGTATTCACTCAAATGGAGTTGCAACAGCGCTGTCGTGACACAAAAGAACACGCTGCTTCATTGTGTTTCTATCGCATGCACATGTTGTGTGAAATGTTTCTTCAATCGTGCTGGTGCGTCTTCCGCACCTCATAGGCTCCCAGAAAACGGTGTGTCTGTTGGGGGCATGGACACTACTAGTCTGCTTTTGCATTACTTTCATCAGACTGATGTCACCACTGAGTGGTGACATGCGTGAATATGGCCCTCTTTGCATCATATGAACACGCACTGCTACAATGATTCACCATCCCAGTCATGATAGTTATAATATAAACTAATTTGAAATGCAGTTTCTGGTTCGAGCATGAGATAAACAATGCGATCACAGGGATTTATGCAGACCGGTGCGACTTCCTGGGAGTCCATTGGAGAGTTTTACGCCCTTCCAGGGTCGGGTTTCTAAGTATAAGTCGTTTTAGCGCCTCCATTTGTTTTCGAAGAAACATGTGTTGCGCTGCTGCAAGTGTATAGGCGTAGTCGCAAAAGCTAATTACCCAGGTACGGTCACCAAGCATCTGTGGCTACAAGTGAATCCTCACACTTTTGCATATCATGACACGTTGATCGTGGGCTGCCACTACGGCCCTGGGCGATCGCGTCTGAGTGGTAGCAGCAGACTCACAATATTCGCGCTGAACGTTAGCTGTTCATCATGAGGCGTAAATTGCTGAACGGCAGATTACCTTCTATGTACATAGAAATATAGTCCACGATATGTCCTGCCTCATGCGATGGACATCGCATGCTTTGTGCCATAGTGATCAAGCTCGTTATTCCACGAATGGGCGCCAAACCGCGCTTCCAACTCAATGCCGTGGAACACGCACCTAGCCATCTTTCGCAATAGCCGGCCATTGGCGAAGGTGCAATCCAAGGAAGCAGTGTTGCGTACGTCACGGCGGCGTGCGCAAATTGCCAGGGGCGACGATGCTGTTGGTTTTGAGGAGAAAGTGGCGTGGGGATGTGGAACATCTGTGCCATTTAAGCCCAATGATGCCAATTTTCGCGACAGGCAGCCCCAGCCTCTCGAATACCCTGTCGATCCACCAGTGAATTTTCAGATTGCGTTTCAACTCATAGTAAGATATTGGATTAATGGGAAGATGTTGGCAGCAAAAGTTAAGCATGTAGGACGTTAAAGCACTGCTGCAGTCCACACTACGCTAATGCCTTCAAACTGCTGTAGATGAGCAGCAACTGGCCGTGTCACTTAGTTCTGTCCATGTAAAGTTGTATCTGATTGGGGCCACCCACTGACATTGAAGCGCGGTCAGCACCACCTGCAGTACCCTTTCCGTGAAATTTGTCACAAGGCCGACTTTTTGCATTTCTTGGGGATATTGTTTCTAACAATTGGGCAGTTTATATATTACAAAATATATGATGCCCAGTTAGTATCAAAAATTTAAGCCGAACTATTGTACTGGTGTTTCAAGCGCAAATATTTGTGTCCATTTTTTCTGATATGCCTTCTGTGTGGATTGCGTGCGGTCCAGACACCGTCCGCTTGAAGTCATGGGCTTCGCCCTGAGGATGAAGCGAATCCTGCTGGGATTCGCTTCGACCTGCGTGCGATTTCAAGACGACTATATCGCAGGTGATTGCGGAACTTCCGAATGTATGCGAAAGTCTTCTGTGCCGCATGCGTTACCATGTGCATGCTGAAAGTATTGTTGTCAATCCTTATTCTAAGTAGCCACAGTAAGGCATAATAGAGCTTGCGTATTCCAGAACAACATAGCGTGGTAAGTGTAATTTAGCCCCTGGAATCTGTGATGAGTTTCACGATGGGGCAATACACATTGTATTGGAAACATTTTACAATACAAGGTGTATTGCCCGATCGTACGTAATCGTCCATAATCGTACGTTATTGCACAATTCAATAAGATTGAGCTATATGATTTAAGTGTTGTACTTAAGCGGAACGTTTGCCGGTCCAGATGTATGGCTTGCAGCAATCGAAATGATAGCAAACTACAAACTGCCATCAAACTAGTTGGAGCGCTTTCGCCGCTCCACATTTGTTGAGAACAATGTGCTCGCGTGACTCATGGGCAGCTCATGTGACATGAGCACTTCAAAATGTGTAAGTTACGTACACAGCAATGTCAAGCACAGAACTCACGTGCCTTGAAGCGCAGTTTGAAAGACAATCCGAGCAATTCTAGTGAATGAAGAATCTCTGTTAGGTATGGCTATCCTGCATGTTCAGGTTCTGGGCCTGTTGTGAACAATGCAGCAATTTCCAAAATCAGCCCCTCGCCATTCAATGTGCCGCAAGATTCTTCGCTACCCTGAAAAAAAAACTGACAGATACTCGCCTGCCCTATATAGATGGTGGAGATTTGGAGGTTCAGAAGAGCAACAAGGGTTTTTCAGGTTCCAACATCTCCTACGACGATCTTTTTGAGGTGAGGGGTAATCTGTTCAGTCGGATAATACTACTACGTTTTTGCTTGCAGTGCAAGATGATGCAAGATGCTTGATTGTGTTTTGTTTGTGTTTTTTTCATGATTTCAACTTGGCTTCATAATTACAATTGCGGTTGCCCAGCTGGGGTCATGGATACATCAATATTCATGTACAAATTGTGGTACCTTGGCGCAGTTTGCGCACATGTTGTGCGCCGCTCAAATTAAAAGTTGAATACAGGCTTGATCAAAATCTTGTGGACATAGTGTAAGCGGATTGAATCACCCGGATCCAAATAATTGAGTACATGCCTTGTGATGCAGGATTGGGCTTCTTGCAGTCTCCCTGCTGGCTGCTCTCTTCTGAGCGGTGGGTTTTTCGGGACCGTTTCCATGTGAAACATGTATATAGAGAATTTGTTTGCATATCTAATGATAACCATTGTCTATATGATATATCTATATATATCTATATCCCATTATACGATACTAAATCAGAACACATAATTTCAAAGTCAAGCTGAGGGCTAGGCAGTGGCATCAGTCATGGGCGACAGATGTTGGTCAAAGGCATAAATGTTGAATGGTTTTCGAAGTGCATTTGGAAAACAATGGCTGTTGATCAGCCACCCATTGCACAATCACATGTCGATGAGATTTAAAAGCTCTTGTTACCCTTGGCCATCCGAGAAGCAGTGCTTTCAAAATGATGGAAAGATGACAGTGTGCAATTCACGGGGCTGAACAAGGAACTTAAAGAAGCTTTCCTACTAAGTATCTTAGGTTTTGGTGTCGGAAAACTTCACAAATATGCATTGTGTGCAAACGAAAAGACAAATATATGCACCTCTTCAAAGGACAGAAGACAATTGCCTTGCAGAATTTGCGAAGCAACTGGCAGAGAAGTTTCCAGAACATTCCCTAGTGGTGTAGATATGGCATTTCGAAAAGACACGTTGTAACAGAACGGCGTATAGCTATGCATAGTTACTCTTCTAAACCGTATTAAAATGGCAGATTGACAAAACCGGGCTTGGTTTTTACGCCGCACAACCTGATCGTATTTACTTTTTTACGCGTAAAAATAGTTTTACGTTTTCGCCCTTAGAAATGAGTAAAATTACGTAAATACAGCCCAGTGTACATAGGGACAGCACACAAAAACTTGGGGAATCCGGGGAGTGGTATTAGATGCGCTGGAGTGGGTAGAAAACGAATTCTTGTTGCATGCGGTCATTGCCCTTGCCGAGGGCGATATGGACACTGTGTTGCGGGTGCTGTAGATGACGGATGACTGATCACTGTACACAGCTTTCATCGTGTAACCTGGGTGTCCCAACGAGGCACAAAAACGTAAAATTAAGCGTAAAAATCGCCCCCTGGCCAAAATTTCATTCTCAACAGTAAGAACGCAAGCACAGGCGCAAACTTGAACGCTGAAAGCCAAGCCTGGACAAAGCGATCTGCAATTTCCATACGCTTCCTCAAAACCTTTACGATTGCGAATGCAAATTCCGCACAACGGCCGTCATTCTACAGAACATCCGCACAACTGCGGTGACCATAGGCTGAATTGCAGCTGTGCTTGTCTAATGCCATCATCACGTCATGTGCTGTGGCACATATATGACATATGACATGCATGACATATACGCCAGCACAGCATGGCATCAGTGATCACGCATGATATCACAATTTTCATGCCATCTTGGTGAAAATTGAGATGGCGACAATCACGAAAGCGATTGCGCTTCTGCACAGGTTTCGGCCAGTACTTCACAATCCCTGCAAACCCCAGCCCTGTTGAGCGTCTCACCACCTGCCAGGACTACGTTGTGATCGACATTGCAAGCTCTGGTGACGAGGGCACTTGAGGTGAGTAGACGTGTACGCCGGAAATAAATTGATGTTGAACCTGAATCATAAATCCTTCTGTAACTTGATAAATAGGGAAAGCCAATCGATGCTTTGGGGTCACAACATAATGCAAGGGCACATGCATGACAAATGTTCATCATCTGGCTTGTGTAGAGCCCTGAATGACCCAAGGCAAATTAAATCCGCGTCTGTGCTGCTGAGTCTCATTTCGGATCATCACAACAGAACGATCGGGTCAGGTGCAAGCAAGTCATGTTGGAATTTTTTATTGTAAAGAAATCAAAACAGTTTCGAATGAGCAAAATACTGAAATCGGACCGGGGGTATGTCTGACTAGACATATGCGACACACATGACACTAGGCAAATGTGGCTTCTGGGCTGCTAAGCATTGTGCCCTCTGTTCCCATCAGCGCGCGAAGACTTGCTTTGTGGTGGCGGCGATGATATGCGCCTTGCGCATCACCGGCGCCATTGGATGCACAACGGGAGAGGTCTGAGGCGTGTGGACTCAGTCCACACATGCATGACGGCAATCGCCATGCAGTGCCTTTGCAATCATCGAAGTGGCACTCTTGGCAACGGCGCTCCTACGCATCTACAGGGCCTGGATGTCAGTAATCCAGCACGCACGGGCATGCGGGCAGGGCTGCGCAGCCGTGAACGACGAGGAGCCTGAAAGGCGCTCCACTGCCGTTACGGATCCATTCTGGTTGATTCTCATTCACGGGGAGAGGAGCGCGAATGAATCCCAACGGCGCCAGTGTTATCTTGCCCACGGGTGGCAACGGAGGCTTAAGGCCCGTTCGTGAGCCAAGACCTGGGGGTATCTTCTCTGGATTCGACGGCGCTTCCCGCCCTCTCCTCCGCATGGCTGGCCTCACGGCGGAGGGCACGGACTTCGCCCTCAGAGTGTTGCCGCCAAGAAACGAATATTCCGGGGGTTGTGGTAGGCAGGGTGTGGCAAATTTGCATTCTCTGTGGACAGCGCGAGTGTCATCAGGGCTGTACCAGTCGCCGATGCTCATGCCCTGGTGGATCTCAGTTTCAGGAGCCTTGCCAAGAAACTGCCCCACATACGGCAGTCGCGCTATTGCCTTGCATACAAGGAGCACTGGGGCGGCGCGAGATGCTGCCGGCGCGCAGGTGAGTGCCGTGACTGTGCACGGTATTCAGTTCGTAGTGGCACATGGGCGCCGAGTGTTGCGTCGAGGCAGGGCAACATGCAGGCTGGCATGAGCGCGGATGGCAGCAGCCAATGCTTTCTGTCGTGGATTGTGGGAGTGAACGCCATAAGAAGATGTTTCAGCATTTCGTGCTAAAGGATGTTATTGGGTATGAATTGGAACGAAGCCAATGCACGGGGCTGGCGCCGTGCAAGCGGCCCCGCTGGTGGGCAGCATGCAATCTTGTGGATTGATGCTTGCAAGGGGCTGCCTGCCTCTGGATATGACGACTCTTCACGCCCTTCTTGGCCTGGGGCTTGTGGCTACCAAGGAGAAAAAGCCACTGTGCTCAAGGAGCGCATGGGCACATCGAAAGCAGGCGCGAGTCTAGACCTCACAATTTATGCTGCAGGTGGATCGTCCAACCACACGCCAGAGCAGAATCTCAGGCGAGGTGCTGCTCATGGGCCAGTGTCCGAAAATGCAGGGGGAGGGGGAGGGAAGGGGGGGGGGGGAGGGAACTCCTGCTGCGCTGAACGATTTGACTTGGCTCTTGTTCGGGGTCCAAAGGGGACATGTTCTTGAGAAGGAGTGCAGTGTGGCAAAAGATGCAGCGAGTGGCCGGAACACAGGTTGGTACACCCCACATCAGCAGGGTGTTGAATAGTGGAAGAATGATAAGACCACATGCAAGCAAATAGAGTGCGGTGGATGGCACCAGCAAGCAACTCCTTGGTGCCACCCACAGAATCTAGTTAATGAGACCCTCGGGACTTCGGACCAGAGTTCTGATAAACAGTTATGGAGTGCCTGCTGCGTGCTGCTGCTGGTGCAAATTAGTATCTTTTGCAACCACGTCCAAGCGATGGGCCAATTCTGCCACGCAGCCTCCACATTTTCATCATGTTGTGGGCCCAGAGTCTGTTTCAGAGGAAAGCAGTGGCTGCAGTTGAGAGAATATTTCGTGGTGCACCAAGATTGCCATGTGCATACGACTGTTACGAAATGCAACTGTGCGTATTCTCCCGTGATCATATGTGGACATGCGGGTTGGAGATCATGCAGAATATGCGCATCGCTTCAAGTGGCTCACACAGCCATATGCTGTGTACATTATCGCGTTTCCGTCTTGCCATATTAGCAACCATTTAAAATGCCCTAAAAAAAGAGTACTTCGCTATGCAACCGTTTTAGCGTTGGCCAGGTGGCCATACGCTGCCTAGTTGTCAGGTTCCCTTGGGAAATGTTGGGAACGGTTGGCTAACCAAAAATTACCATGGAACGCTATAGCCTCTCCTTATGAAAATGTTCTTGAAAAGAAATTCAGCACAGTGGCTCAAGCGCATAATGGGCGAAAGTTTTCACTGCGAGTTGTTCTGAATCAGCATTATAATCAACGCTTTCAGAGAATTGTTGGCTTCTGCACTTGTAAAAAAATCTGGGTAGGACAATCACTGTTTGGGTGTCCCAAGCCCGAGGGAGATAATGAAATCAAAGAAATCATGCGGTTGCCAGACACAGCAGCTGCTGGTGTGCGTGCCAGTCTTCCACCACAATTACGTACTTTTTTTGCAACGTCTGGGTTCGCAACCGGCGCCTCACAGGGATTGACACAAATGCACGATGATCGCACCAGCCTTCTTCACATTTTCCATTACAGAAAAGGCAGAGATTTCCTAAGAAAGCAGGGCGCATAGTTCTGCAGAACAACAGGCAGCCTCAGTTACGCACGTGCAGATATGTTACACAAAGTTTCTGTTTGGTCAAACAAAAACTTCACCCATTTGTAATGACGCTGCAATTGACGTTGCAGGTATTATTGCATGCAATAATAACGAATGACAGATGTAAGTCGCTGCCCCTACCCAAAACACGAAAAGATTCGCCATGCTCTGTACTCCAAGTGCTTAGGACTACATTTTCCACACATCCTCTACTGACCTCGCCAGAGTCATGCTGTTCAGCTACATTTCCTATTGCTCTCTACCTTTAAAAACCTTATTGATATTGTTCACCACCGGTCCCAGCAAACATCAGAAATTGCCATCGCCCACAACTCAGTGCGACATGTGGGTAGGCCTAGGGGCAAACGAGAGATTGCAGTTGATCAGCAAACGGCTCAACACGCACTCCTGAAAATGGCACGGAATATCTCCAATTATTGAAGCTGATCTCTGAGCTTCTTGAGGTCTGGATTGGCACTGAGGGGCCCTGCTCGTTTCCCGTTCACGTGCTGGGTCTGACTCCCCCTTAACATCGCCCTCAGCCTCCTCGCGCAACCATTGATCTCCTGCAGCAACACTTCGGAGCTGATGGCATGCATCCATGGGCCCTTGCAGCGCTCCTGGACGGCCCGGTCAGATGTTGCTATCACGACATAAGGAGTGCCCTTACCAAGCGACTTTGCAGCCTCGATTATTAGACCGATGTCGGCTTCAACCGTCGTGCAAAACACAAGTTCGATCCCAGACTTCTCCTCGCGGTTGAAACCAGTCCCATCTGGGGGAGCTGTGGCAACACGAGCAAAAGATAGGGAGTCAGAGTCAGAGAGTCTTATGCACATTGTCTGGAAATTAGTTCACACTGCGAACTTCACAGTAGCTAACGAACTAATTAAGTATACTAATTAGTCAAAACTAAATAACTTCATCAGTTATCAGTAACTGAGAAGTTTCACAGCAGTGGTAGCAATGCTCCAAATTTTGCATTGTAAGAGATTTAGTAAGTGCCCAAATCCAGCTGGCAGATTTTCATGAAGATCTGCTGCCTAATTGCAGTCCATCGTTAGTCAAGTCAATTCCACCACACCTTGCACAGCTATGGCCTGGACAAATCCAGCATGCTGTCCCTGCCAGTGGGGTGGAATGCCAGGAACACTTGGAACCATCGCATAGGCTGCTGATACAAGTTTATTCATGCAATCAATACAAAAGTGGTTGACCACCTGCAAGCAGTGCTCTGTGCACTGATGGTGGTTTGCGAATCTGCAGTCCCAACGGGTGCTGTACAACATAGTCTAAGGACGGGAATGCAATGCTTCCAGACGAATGTTCGGATACATAGCAAATGGCACTGTGAATAAAGAAGACATCACAGCTCAAAGCCGCAGGCCAACTGCTTGCAATCTGGCAAAATCAAGAAATCGCGCATGGCAGCACGCATGCCAGATTCAAGTTCTATCCTTTTCTCACCTGTTTGACTCCCGGCAGCATCGTACACGATCTTGACTCTCACTCCCCGATGCTGACTAAAAACTATGACTTCATCTTCGAGCACCTGACGTCGGGCCTCAAGATCCAGCTGCTGGAACCTCCAGCGGTCGTGCTCCATCATTTGGAAGAGGAGATTGTAGCCATCTATAAACAGCAATGGTGGCTTGCGACGTTTCGAGACTTCCAAAGAGGCTGTCAAGAGTCCTTTGCTGTTCTGGTCCCTGTTGACAATAGCAACAATTTGATGCCATGAACAGATTGTTTGCACCCAAGAAGAGTTTATGCACCTGTGTTAGGCAACTGTTGCACTGGATATGACATACAACACGAACGACTGCAACATAGCATGCAACACTTCGTCTTCTTCAGGGCATCCTAACATGCCATGTTGGTTGGAATGTCAAGAATGAAAAACCTGGGCACCTCTTGCTGCCGTTGTTGCCATTTTCTGCGATTCCTCAAACCACTATCATCATTTGGAGTGATTGCTGGCAGCCTTGTAGTTGGTTTCTGCTTGAGCATCAGAGCATCGATTCAGTACCAAACTGCCAGTGCCCAAGAACGAAAAGAAAAGTGGTCTCACGCAAGAAGACACTAAGGTGATACAATGGGCACTGTATTGATACGCCAAATTGCATGACCATGTGTGGCACATACAAGTCAACAAGCAAGAACGAGTATCACATCGGCATACAGCAGACCTTTTCCAGCATCATGGATGCACAGAACCATGAGCCATCTACAAACATGCCACTCACGCTTCTGTGAGAAACCTTGCTTCAGTGCTGCGAAATGGTGTTCTGCAAATAAAAACACAAAGCTGACAATTTGCCACGAATCGAAGAAGGCGAAATCGAAACACGGCGTCTGGGGATCCATTGTCGCCTCACAGTGCCGTCTTTGCGGTGTCGCCAGCCTCGAGACCACGAGCACTCCCAGCTCTCCGCATTTGATGCAGTTTGGATTCTGTCGCTTACTGTGATCGTATCATGCACACTCCGCAAGCGGACTTGTGCCCGAGATCGCCTTGCACGTGCGTGGGGTGTGCGCCATCACTCTCTGACAAACGACACAAAGGATTGACACGGACACGCCGCTCGTCACCACCATCGCCCGTCCACCTCACTGCCCCCTCAACCCCGCCGATGCAGCCGTTCTCCCGTTACAAGGAACTCATGCCCCGGCGCCGCACCTCATCCCTTCCCAGCCGCCCGCGTGTGCCTTCCGCGCACACCGCCACCAGCCCGAGCGCAGGTCCCCCGCGACCCCCGCCGCCCCTCACATCATGCGCCCAGCTCGCCCCCATATCGCACCACTCTGTGCCCGCGCCCGCGACGCGCGCCTTCAACCCCGCCGCTGGCACCGCCACCCCCTTCGCCGTCCAAAAACACGCGTCCATGGACGCCGACGGCAAAACTGCCTGGCGCCACGCGCAGTACTGACTGCCCAAATTCAGCCCTCCACGTGCCCCCGACGTCTTATGCACTGGGGCTGAACTGTCCCTGCAGCCGTCAGGGGGGGCACTGCAGCAGTACTGCTGCGACTGTTTCGGGCCCCTTGCAGAAGACGCGCGGTGCGATTGGATCCACCAACCCGCGGGCGGGGCCCTTCATTGGGACACAACGGGGGCCGGTAACGCTCTCAGCCGGCCACGTGGGATAAAGGTCAGCGGCGTATGGCACGAACAAGCCCCGGGAAACTGAAACCAAACCAGCCAGTGCCCGCCCCCACCCCCCGCACACAGCCCCATGTCCTCCTCACTATTGTTGCGCCAGCTGAGCCACACCGGCGCCTCCACGCGGGCCAACTTCCAGCCCTGCGCCCCGGGCCCGCCGTCCTCGCATCCCCCCAGGCGGAATGGCCGCCGCCGCGGGGCCGCGACGATCAGTCGCCTGATCGACGGCCAGAGGGAGCGGGAGGCTGGAGAGCGGGGGCGCATCGGGCCGGGAGCGGCGTCCGGGGGCAACGGGTGGGACACCGACGGATCGGGCCGGGATGCCGCGGCCTCGACCGTCTTCGTGGCGGAGACGATGCTGCCGACGAGGTCGGGCAGCTATCGGCTGCGCGGCTACCGCCACTCGGTGGGGCCGGGTCTCCTTTTCTCTTGCTCCTTCTCCTTTTCTCCTTTCCTGCGGGCAACATTTGGGAGGGGCGGGGGGTGGGGCGGGGGTCGGGTCATGATGAGCTGTGGGCTGACTGGCTGATGGGGTGATGGTGTGTGGGGTGGGCAGGTGGACGGTTGGGAGTCGTACACGGAGCCCGCCGTGGTCGTGTCTGGGCGGGTGGAGGACCAGGAGAACGTGAGGCGACTGATTCTGCGCGCCGCGCGGTTGGGGGTGCCCTTTGGGCGGGGTGCCTTCATGCTTGGCGGAAGCTGTGCTGGTTCCCAGGAGCCCCTCATGCAATGCAGTTTGGCCCGGTCAGGCCCGAAAGCGCCTGGGAATGTTGGCGTCGTCGATGTGCAGAGTTTGAACAGCGTTCCATGAGACGTTGTCAGTTGGTATTGGGGATGATTTCTTGGTGGAACTTGTAGCCGTTGGCGTCCTTCCCTTCAAATGGACGGCCATGGCTACTTCATATGTAAATGGGCACCCATTGAAGATTGCAAATGTGAATGGCAAGACTGTTTTTGTAATTTCTGGCTGGGCAGGCACCGTTGAGTTTCAGGTCGTTTTGCTGTAGGTTCCTGTGAGGGTGCATGATGCCTGCTTCACTTCAGGTGTGTTGTGCGAAGCTTGAATCGTTTGATTGTATTGATCCATATACTCTTTAAGATAGACTGTTGAGGTTGCCACAAAGCGCTGGTGCATGCTTGCCACACACAAATTCCTCAAGTTGTAGTGTGAAGAAGTTGCACGCCTCTTTGATGCAGAGGACAAGTGGAACCTTCCAAGTTTTGCACCCATGGTGGTTGTGGCATGTGCTGTGCAGTCCGTTGGCATTGCTGGTTTGTTACTTGCATGAACCGTTCTTGGATAATGGTCTCGCAAATTCAGAGACACAAAGAGCAGGATGCTGCTGGGATGCAGTGCAGCAAGTGTTGATTTCTCAAAAGGACATTGCTGGGAGTACTCTTCCCAGTTTGTCACATTCCATATCATTGGCGCAATGAATGCGAATTGGCGGGAGTGGCACATCCGAGTTTCTGTACAAATCTGGATGTGCCGGAGGTGTCTGTCATAAACTGGTGACACTGCACACCCAGTCATAGCGCTGTTTCGCCATCTGTATCTCCTTCCACGCAGTGCTGGACTGCTCAAGTTAAATCACAATTTCAGAAGGCAAGGTTGCCCCAATCCACTGTGCAATAGCCATCTTGGACTCCTGATGCTAACGGAAATTTGGTGAACTGCAGTTATGAGAATTTATTTTGTGTGTTTTTTTTATTTTATTTTGTGGGTTCCTTCCTGCAGAGGTCCTTGGCTCCTTGAAGTGTGACTGTGCTCAACAGCTGCAGCTTGCACTGGAGTACATCCAAAACACACCGCCGGGCATCGTAATCTACTTACAGCAGGAGGGCAGAGGCATCGGCCTCTCCAACAAGATCGCGGCGTATGCTTTGCAGGTGAAAGCCACAAATAGATAATGAATAAACTAAATAGTGAAATACATGCATGATGAATATATGAGTAAATAAAGTGCCGAAGGTTGCAAACACTGCGTCTGACTGGAAGTTTTGAGTTGCAATGTCCAGTTTCTCCAAATGCCATTGTTTCATAAATGACCAGTTGAGGAGAAAGCCAAGTACCACAACATATGTTGCATTCTTGCCCTTTGATATTCAAAGGAAAGGCACAGTGTGCAGCCCACCTCCACAGTATAAAATACTTCTGCTGACAGGGGAATCTGCAAAGCCAGAACGTCCCCACACCGCCCCCATCGTGTAATTCATGGTTGTCATACAGGTGGAGACAAATTATGCAGTGCTGCGTGTTTGTACACACCACACCATGTGTTGCAAAGTCCACACCCGAAAAACATTGATCTTATTGTGGTTTCTGTGTTCCCACTGGGCGCCGCAAAGACATTATGCCACATACAAGCACACACATTCGCACACACTTGCGGAAATGCCCTACTCCTTCCCCATACTGAGGCAGGTTTTCCAATTTTTGATTAGGACCTTCAGTGTGTTCCAGTCTATCGCATGGGTGGTATTAATTAAACATCCGAATCTGCATCTATTAATGTATGATAAGTGATCTGCTTGCTCTGATTTCTATATCACAACAGGCCGCACAGATACACGTGTGGGAGACTTGCTTGGGTGGTGCGTTTTCAGATGTCCAATGTTGCTGCTGCTCAAGGAGCGAGGCCTTGACACTGTGGATGCCAACCGGGCTCTGGGTCTTCCTGATGACTGCCGAGAGTACTCCCCGGTACCCAACATCTTGGAGGATTTGCGCATCAAAAGCATACAGCTAATGGTAAGGATTGCCTGTGTTTTAGAAGCAGGATGCAGCCCATAGGAGTCAAGATTAACCAACCACCACTAAATTTGCGAGCACAATAGAAACAGATTAGCTTTGGTTTGTTGCCTGCCTTTAGAGACGATTCAGAGGCTACTATGTGTGCAGTGGCACGGGGGAATTGCAAGATAATAGTGAGTGTGGAGATTTGTACGTAATCTTCCGACTTTATTATTGGTGAACCTGTTTGGTTGCATTTTTTATTTCATCATTGGTTTTGATCATACTGTCCAGACGTAGCACGGCTTTAGGTATGCAGGCATCACCCCTGCTCAGTCAGAAGGTGTGCACCTCTGCAAGAGTGCCCTGTAGCACATCTTCTGACTTCCTTTCCGCGCATTTTCTCGGATTGGTTCCTGGAACAGTTTGTGCACTCAGCTCGCCTTGCCTGCTGACTCCGTTTTTTGCACCCTGCCTCAGACGAACAACCCCAGAAAGCTCTCTATGCTTGAAGATCTAGGAATTCGCATAACAGGCCGCATACCTTGCATCGTGGGGCCTGGGAAGCACAATCAGGTGCGTTGTTGTGTCAATTGCCTGCTGGAATAGCAGCACAGGCGACTTGCATTAAATTGAAGGTGTTGTGAACTTGTTCTGCTGGGTGAGCCAATGGCGACCGGATGGTATCCCTGGATGAATACCATCCTGCGAAGATGGTCACTGTTTCTGCTGCTTGCGGCACAAGGTCCTCAACTTGCCGAATTGCTAAAGGAGGCGAACAGCAGATTGAAAGTTTCCCCGTTGTCCACGTGACATCAAGACTGTCTATTTTCCTAACTGTTTCCAACTGATTGTTGTAGCTCCGAAGGAGGTCAATTGCTATGGCAAACACCCCTGCAGTCAAGATGTCCAAAGGCTCACAATCGACTGTGCTCACTATGTGTCAGGCATATCTTTCTGCAAAGGAAAAGCGGATGGACCACTTGCTAGAAGGCAGCTGGTGCTACTGGAACCATGACGGTGAACCGACTCAGCCAGTCGCAGGGCCCCTCAGACAAGGTTCGGCACTTGGCTGTCACTCAGTCAACCTGACACAATGGACTGTGGAAATGAATTCAGGCAGCCTTGCGCAGCCCTCCACTCTTGGATTTAGAGATGCCATGACTAACAGAATAAATGCAGACGTCTCTCTATTTTAGGGACAGCTGAAAGCCTGAAATTGCTGTCTGGACTCCGTCTGAAATTGCAGATCTCCTAGAATTGATGCCTTTCTTGCTGATTGTGATTAGCGACGTAGCTGGCAGTTGAGGCAGGAATTGCTGACCATCCCATCACGAAAACCCCTCCCACCCAGTGCCCCTCTTCCTGCAATTCTGCTTCAGCTTGTCAATCTAAGTGTGCTTATCATGCTTGTGCACTTCGTCATTCAACGGACATTGCCATTGACAGGCCCGGAAGTCTTTTCTTTTGTTCGAAGATTTTCGTGTGTACTTTCAACAAATGTGACAACAGCAGACCATGGGCTGCACAGATCAAGTGGCTCTTCGTTCTTTCCAGGTATCACAGAACAGTCGCTGTGGTTCAGTGCAGAGCCCAAATTAATGTTGAATGCCTTTTGTGGCCGAATTGTACACTTGCACCTTTGAGGCGATGCCACTCACCATGGCCTAAACACCTTGCACTGAGCGTTGTGCCCCCTTGTAATATGCAGGTTCCATCCTTCCCTCATCAACAGAAATTGCCGCCAAGGTTAGGGAACTTTCGGCGGAAGAATGAGGGCATATTGGTGCAGCATTGGGGATGCGATTCGCACATCAAACGCAGCCCAAGACGACCGTTTGGCTGTGTTGTTCTGTATCCTTGTTATGAGTTCTGGCCGCCATTTGGCTTCTACTTGTTTAATTAGAAAGAACACGGGGTCACTTCATTTATTTTGCCATCAAGTTTTAAATTTGGGGGGCTGATGAACATCCAACGCTGGCTTGTGGGCCGGTCATGGGCGATCGCATCGCGGGGAACATGTCGAGCGATTGTGAAGTAGAAAGCCACACTGTGAAGGACGTGCCCACTTGTGACTATCGAGAGCCACTGAAGGGTGAATGATGTGCCGTTTGCTAGCAGAGGGAAGGGTTGCTATAATCGGCTCAACTGCCATTCGATAGCGACTGGTGTGGTCTTTCTCATTGTTCAGCGAGGCGAGGTTTCTTTCGACAGTGGTTTATTGTTTTTATTTAAGAGTGTGCCACGAAGTTGAGCTATCCCCACCTGGTGTACTGCTTTAAGCCTGGTTCCTGCTCCAGGCGTGCGAGCATTACATGGTCTTCACATTCGCCACTGTGCTGTCATGCGATGCTGTGGAGCTGTGCGGCGAATCTCTTCAGCATGGCTCGTTCTTTCAGATTGGCAACGCCCTTGTGCGTGGCACAGAGGACCTTACCCGATTCGAGGCTTCTCGCAACACGCCAACGACTGTCAAGGGGGTTCGTGCACGGGGATGCACGTGCTGAGCAATGTGCAAGACGTGGAAGTGTACGACCAGATCGGTTTGAGAGCCCTTTGGCTGCAGTGATCGAAACGAGACGCAACAAGGGCCCCTGCACATTCGGGAGCTTCTTTTTGAGCCCGAACCATGTCAGCCGGGTGTGCCGTGAAGGTGGCACGGTGATGCGACAGCGTTCCTGGACGACGCAGGTCGCAGCGCCAAACCATACCCAATTCGCCAATCCTACATGGGCATGGCCACCGCGATCTCTCGACGTTGAGAGAAGAGAAGAGCCAGTTGAAACCTGTCAAATAGAGCTGAAGCGTGCAGAATCGTGTGCGCTGATTACAGGGAAGGCACTGTGGGTGGTTGTAAAGGAAGCTGACCAATCAACACTCGTAGAAAAGGAACGATCCATTCCGATCATTAACAGCATTACTTGGAGCGATTCCGAAGTTTGCCCATGGAATGTGTGGGGATTGAACGCACAAATGGACAAGTGGACAGCTGCAGACACCTTTCAACAATACAAGGAGACCGGCTGTCTCACCCGCGTCATTGAATCCCTTCTCGGTGCACGGACGGTAATGAGGATGTCTGACCCGGGATCGAAGCAACAGTACACCGCTGACCTTATCCCACGTGGCCGGCTGGGCGCGCCAAGGCCCACATAGCATCCCAACAAAGAGCACCGCGTGGGGCCACAAACCCCGGGCTGTGGGTAGACACAATCGGCGGCGTGCGTGGCGCGAGGCCGGTTACCGTCGCCCTCCATGGAAGCATGCTTTTGGACGGTGAAGGAGGTGGTGGTGCCCGTGGCGGGCCTGAGGGCGTGGGTCACGGGCGCCGAGGGATGTGTTGTGGGCGCGAGCTGGGCGCGTGATGTGAGGAGCGGACGGGGCCGCGAGGGGCCTGCGCTCAGGCTGGTCACAGTGTGCGCGAAGGGCAACGGCAAGCGGAAGGAAGATGAAGAGGTGCGGCGCGCGGGGACGTGTGTTTCTTGTGGCGGGGGACGGTTGGAATCTGCGGGGGGAGGGGATCCATTGGTTGCATTTGTCGGCGAGCGAAGAAACACTGCCGGCGCACCAGGGAGGGGATGTCGGGGATGAGTCCGCAGGCAGAGAGTTGAGAATGCGGTGGACGAGAACGCCGAAATCAAAATGAATCCTGTACAGACAATTTGCTGTCGCACATTTCCTCCGGGCTGGAGATCCAGTGTGAAGCGTCACTGGAAAGACCGTTCCCGCGAGATATTGGATTCCCAGCCTTGGTGTTCGATTCTGTCTTCTTCAGTCAGTAGCAAGTTGTTAATTGTGTATTTTGGCTTGCAGAAGATCCTTGTCCCAGTCTGAAGCAAAAGTCTCTCACAGAATTGGATGGCAAACATGTGGACTTCTCGTGGCAATGTGCCTATGTGTTGCTTATAAAGGCCAGTCGTGTGCCAATGTGATAATCGTTCTCGCTTGTTGACTTGTTGTGTAGCAAACTTGCTCACGCATTTGGAAGCTTTGGTGTGGAGCCAGTTTACCTGTTTGTTTCCCTGTGCAAGACCGTTGCTGCCATTCTTTCGTTCTTGGCCACCGGCAGCTTGGTACTGAGTCGATGAACATTTGCTCAAGCAGAAACCAACTGCAAGGCCACCCAGAATCACTCCACTGACTGCAAGTGCCTATGGTGGTGTGAGGAATTACATCAAGTTGGTTCGGCAACAACGGCAGCAAGAGGTGATCGGCATTTCTCCCTGACATGTGCCCCCACCAAGGCATGTTGTGTTGCCTTTAAGAAGACCAACTGTTGTATGGGATGTTTACAACGGTTCACGTTGTATCATTCGTACAACACATACATCATTCATACATACTGTTCATGGTTGTAGTCAGTGTAACATGGATGCACAAACTTCTTTGTGTGGAGAATTACTGCTCACCACGTCAATTGCAGTCGCTGTTCTCGTTTTGCACAACATGTCTGCAGAAATTGCATTCCCATATGTGCTCGTGTGTTATGTGAGCCAAGGATACTGATGTACTGATGCACTGGTACTGATGCACTGGTATGGATGAGCCAAGTATGGAGTGCATGACTTGACTTCCTATGCTGCCTCATGTAGACAAAAAAGGTCTATCAGATCAACTGAAAGTCGTGTGCGTTCTGTGGGCAGGCTGCTGGCAGAACGTCTATTCCTGGTGCAAGGGTGGCATTCCGCAGAACGAGAAAAACACAAGAGCAGATCTCTGAGGAGAAAAGAAGCGATGCAGAGGATAGATCAGACCAACAAACAAGCCTTGGCAGCCTCTCTGGAACTCTCACAGATCGAAAGCCGCCAGTGTTGTTGGTTGATGGTTACAATGTCCTCTACAGAATGGTTGTACAAAACCGCAAGAAATTGGAACGGCTGGATCTTGAGTCCCAGCGTCAGGTGCTTGAAGAAGATATACTGATTTTCAGTCAGCATCGGGGAGTAAAAGTAAAGATCGTGTACGATGCTGCTGGTAGACAAACGGGTGAGAAACGTCATACAAAACTTTGCATCAAGCTGCCTTGCTGTTTTGTGCGCTTTTTTTTTACTTTTGCCATAGTGTGGATGAATTATGACTATGGCAGTAGGCTCTGGTGCCTGCTTTATTCATTTATTCGTGCCTTTTGCTATTTTTCTGACCACTAATCTTAAACCTTTGCTTGCCATGTTTCTAAACTATGTCGTACAGCAGCCCATGTGTCCTGGGCAAGCGATACTGTCGGGGACAACAGTGTGAGTTGGTCAATGCCACACCTGTACAATGTGTGGTGAGAGTTATTTGAGTAACAATGGACTACCGATGGGTAGCAGATCGTCACACAAATCTGCCCCACAACATCCAGTGATCTCCTTGATCAAGCCACTGCTGTTTCTGTATGGTGCATGTGTTGGGTGCAGTCAGGCGCTTTGCAGATTTTCAGCAACACAAAAGTTAGAGCAATGCCTGGAGTGCATGTAGACAATAAATTACCCTTTTCCTGTCAGTGTACAAGATAATGAAAATGCTGCACAGAACTCTCTGACACATGCCTGATTGCGTTTTGCCCATATTGCCCCAGGCGAGAATGAGATCTGCTGCGAGAAGAAGTCCGGTATCGATCTTGTGTTTTGCACCACAGTTGAAGCCGACATTGGTTTGATGATTGAGGCTGCTCAGTCGCTTCTAGAGGGTGCCCCTTACGTGATGATAGCAACATCTGATCGCGCCGCCCAGCTGGACTGCACAGGACCGAAGACGCGTGTCATAAGCTCCGAACTGCTGCTAAAAGAGATCAAGGATTGTAAGAAGAGGCTGAGGGCGAAGTTGTTGGAGAGCCAGACCCAGTATGCGCGAGGGAGGCTGGCGGGGGCCATGAATTCGGATTCAGATATTAAGAAGCTCAGAGATCAGCTTTTGCAGACATAGATGTGCCCTGCCACTCCTGGGGGTGCATTGGAACGATTTACTGTGCACATCGCAGTTTGTCATGTGCAGTTAGAGCTGCCTTTACCGTGCAGTGTAGGTTCAGGGAGATGGCTCAAATTTGCTGGACCAGTGGTGGATAGTTCCGGTAGGGCTTCTGTAGCACTACTGTATAGATCAATAGGCTGTGTAGCTTGATAGCATCTTCCTAGCAAGCTCGTTTAGATGATGCGTATGTTGATTTTTTCAGTCTTTAGTGGCCGTAGAAAGAGAGTGCAGAGCATGGCGAATTTTCGTTTGGGCGCAGAGGCCGCAATTTCCATTTGTTATTCTTTATTTGTGCAGGTGCGCACTCTGCGATGTCAATTGTGACGTCGTCGCAGCCGAGTGCTGATTTTGCTGCACCCATCAAGAGCACTTTTAACGTGTTTGTCTGGGCGCGGTTGAGACTGCCTGCAAAATTGCGCAAGCTGCATTCTTTAAAACTCTCTGTCTCCTCTAAGAGATGGCGAAATGAGGTCGGCTCCTGCAGGGAAGCCACTGATTCGACCATCGTGCACTTTGTGTCCAAATCCGTTCGAGGAGCAGGTTGCCACTGAGGATCGTGCTCAGATTTTACGTAGTTGCTCTGGAGTGTCAGTACACACCTATAACCTATGTGCCTAGCACAACCACGTCATTCCATTCCGCATTCTCTCTCACCGCCTTGGAACGCCCACCCAGTGCTTGTCCCACTCAGGTTATTCAACAAACACGACGCCAAGGGGTCGCCAGCACTTTTAATTTTATGTGCTGAATCTCTCCAAGAACGACTTTCGTGCCTAAGAATTTTGCCCCAGCAAAATTTTCGACCACGCAACCGTTCTCAACATTTCCGCCGGACCGGGCTCCTTGTCCCGCCCCGGTCCACACACACACTGGACCAATACATTACAAAGACCGTTGTTTATCAAGAGAGCCTGGCGCTTGGGCAGAATGCGGCCCGTTGTTCTGCGCAAGGACGATTGCGAAGTGCGGCGCTCCTTGAGGTCTGTAAGCGGGCCTTTAGCGAACACCCCCTGTTGCTCCAATGGGAAAACGGAATGGCGACGAACGAGCACAACGAACGTGAATCCAACAAAGGGAAGGTCCCTGAAACGACGGGCAGATTCTGAACGAACCCCGGTCGGCATTCCATACTTGGCAAAGGTAGAGTGAGAAGGTGCCTGCATAACAGTCGTTCTATTTAACAGGCAACATCCGCGGACAAATTACCTCATTTGCATCCGCTCTGTACCTCAAATTTGCTTGTGGGGGGGTAGGTGGCAGCTGGGGGAGTTGCTTCACCATTGGCGGTCGCCAGCATTTGCTTGCAACTGCTGGCAACGCCTGGCGCATTGCCCCGTCAAGCACCACCACCGCAAAGCGATGCTCGCCCTCCACAAGGACACATTCTTCGATCACGTCTTTGACCACCCCGTCGATCAGCCTCTCCTTCAAAACAACCCGGCGCCCAACGCCCCTGTCCTCCATCGCCTTGCCCATCTCCCCGTCCCTCGCAACGATCACCACACCGCCATATGGAATGCATTCCCCACTTTCACAACCTGGTGTCGTACATCTTCACCCTGACACAACATTTGCACTGTGCGGTATGAGGCCCCTGTGAAAATTGCCTGTTTTTCTCTGCCCTGATATTCGAAATATATTCGAGATGAAAATCTGCAAGTGAGATGCGGGGGCGTGCCAAACAATGAGTCTGCGAACCCACGGGCGGCGAAACTCACGTTTCCAGTCCACGACTTGCAGGTCCTTATTCGATCCACGAAAACAGCGCCTAGGGAGGGCAATCGACGAATATGGCACAAGGATCGGCCCAATGTCGGAATGGATGGCGGATGAGAACCAACACGCGACATCCCAAGAATCGATTGCTGCCTGGCTGCGTGTTGGGTCTTGAACCTGACGGCTGGAGTGATCTCAATGTTGTGTCCGGCGAGGCAAAAGTTGGCGCTCATTGCAGGTCACTGTAACTTCAAATTTCCACTGAATTGGTGCGGCGGGGGCACGTCGAACGATAGGCTTAAGTATGCTGTCTGTGTTGAGCTGCCTGCACTACATAAATGTCAGTAGCAAAATGAGAACCAAACAAGACTTTTTGCAAGCACATATATATTTATTTCAACAATGTTGTTTATGCTAAGAACACGGAAATAACCCAAACCCGTAAACTTTGTACACGTTTGAACACGTGTTATTTGGCCCTTTTCGCCTAGTGTAATTTCCCCTGCTTCGCCTTCAAACTGTTCTTCTGGAAGTTTTCTCCTGGGCTTTGTCGTCACGCAACACTTTTAAGTCGCAAAATATTTCAACCAACCAATCGCTCACCAAATCTCTCCAGGATAAATTCGCCTTGGGCAACATGGGCTCCAGTGTTTCGCGGAACAGCGATGGACAATCACAAAATGAAGTGCAGCTCATTCTTGGGTAGTTTGCCAAATAACTAACCGTGGCGACCGTCAGTCGCAATTGCCGCAAGGACGCCCAACAGATCGTTGGCTGCGGTCATGACCAGCGATCACCAGCGATAGGGCAAATCTGCACCGAGCCCCATTTGTCAGTGGTTCTTGGCGTGTGCTGCAATCTGCTTTGCCAAAACAGCAAAAAGTTGATCCAGACTCAGAAACGCTCCCACACACAGATTTTCTTGTGTTCAGCAGTAGAATCGTTCGTGCGAATGGACTTTTGCGCACACGATGGTGCACAGAAATTCATGTGCTGCACGACCTCTGCCAGGCAAGAATTCGGGAAGCAATCTCGGCGGCTAAATCTAGAGGTCACATCAGACTCCGGCGGGAAGCTTCGCCATGTTTAACTGTGCGCCGCTGCGGCTTGCTGCAGCGGAGGCCTTCAGATGAGCCCACCAATCTCAAAGCGAGCACAGGAACCCGGTGTCAGGAAATGTCCTGACTGACATTCAGAATATGAATGGCCCATATCCCACATTCCATCCTTAACATCAGCAGAGTAAGTCCCACTGTCTGCATCTACCTGCATGGCCGTCATATGCAGATATAAAATGACATTGCCAACATCGTTTTTGGTCTATTGCATGCACTCCATCCTTCTGACAACAGATTATGCGTTCATGTGTAACAATATCAACGCTGCTTGGACCTAGTCGGTAGCAATACCAGCATGCCCTGGCAGGCGCCACAATTTAAGCACTTGACAAGGGCCAATGGAGCCCCTTCGGTGAAACCCCAAATGGATCTGATTGCACAAATTTTGTGCAGGTGCGTCAAGAAGTTTCTGCGCGTCACCATCCACCGGACAGCATCTGGTTGTTAGTTGCCTAATTATTTGTCACTGTTTCAACTTCCTACTGGCAACATCCCTGCGTTACCGGCAACTTGTTGTGGGTGGCCCACATTGCGTTCAATCTCAGGGACATGGCCCTTTCGAGCATCGAGATGGATCAGGTCAAAAAACATCACAAAGATCACTGCAACAGCGCGCGCACCCCCTTGCCCTGCCTGAGATTTTGTTAAGTATGGACGTTGGATGACCCACCATCACAGAAATCGTGAAGTCTGCCCTCGCACGCCCGTTGATCGAGCCTGTATGTCCCTTGCGACTTGTCAATCGCCGCCGCAGTCGTGAGGGCGATGAAGGTGTGAAACGTCGTCGTATCCAGGGCTCTGAAGGCAGCCCCTCGCAAGGATCAGTCCTCAGTTGTGGATGACCTCTGCCAGAGCTGCATCTTCCAAGGAGCAAATCCCGGTTGTTGGCTTCATTCCCATTCATATCTCAAAAGAATGCTTGCGGGTGAGACCACAAAATGCACGACCACACTCATTGGCATTCGGCATCTGCGCCCAAGTCAACCGGCATGTTGTGTGTTATCTCGAAGCTACCTCGTCGCTCTGACCATCGCCCCCAACGTGGGGCTCCCACATATAGTACGCATCATATTATTATGGCAGCCACCATGTCGTACACAAAATTGCGCCTAAATTACATCTTCATCAATGGACAGTTGTCACGTAAGATCGCGAGTTACGCGTATTCAGTGGCATTTAGTTCGAAGGGAAGGTTTGAAATCAAGGCTTTGGCATCGCAATCAACGAGCTCAATCCTGATCGCATTGGGCATGCAATCTACGTCCCACGATGCAGGGCTATTGATGAATGCTTATTGTCCATCCGTGGGGGGTCATGTGTCGCTTCAGTAGTTTGCGCCTCGTTGTTTAGGAGCCGCCGTTCATTAAAGAGATTGTAATTGTGTCGTCAACATGCATCTGGAAATTCGGTAGGCGTTGATGCAATGTTGATGGGGCTTGAGGCAACGGGGTCATTGAAGCAATGACTAGCAATGTTGAGGCAAGGCCTATTGAGCAACGGCTCACAGATGCCGGCGTTCGTCAACGACGCGGCAAGGTGTCTTTCGGCAACATTGCGGCAATGTTGCTGGCCCACTACCACCCATCAACGTTGCTGCAACGTTGAAGCAGTGGCCCAGCATGTCAACGTCACATCAGGACTGATTGATGCATTTGCGGCCAATGTTGCATCAATACCGCCGTGCATCAATACTGCAACAAAGCTGATTGCACAAAGGTTCCGCAACGCACCACAACACGTCAGTTGCCAGCAACGTTGACAGACGCCTGTTTCGAATGCGCTGTTTCAATACCAAGAACGCCAAGGCGCGCGCGGACCCAGCAACAACGCGGGTGGACGACAACCGCGGACACAGGAGGTTGCGCGCAACGAGGTAAACCGCACTGACCTTGACCGACACACGCGTGCGAGGCCTGCATCCTTTCTTTGATCGCGACGCCCAAGCCGAAACCGAGTTCACCTTGGGACGCTCATGTTCAAGGCTTTCTGAAATGGATCCGCGACGTGCCCTTGTGGGACTTTCAGTGGGAATAGGCCAGCGGCAGGGGTAGCGCTGCTCAGCCACTCACGATCGTTGCCCGGGAGCAGCACGGGACGCTGGCGCTCCAGGCATTCCGAAAT